GACAAGCGCTAAATGGCATTTGGCTACAGCTGCAGGCATGCTTGTGAATCGACAGGCGATTCGATTTTTAAACATTTTTGGGCATACTCAATGGAATACCTTTTAGCATGCTATTTTAGAGCATGTTTATCAGTACCAAAGCAATCGTTTAGCAAGATTAAATGAGTGCTGGTATCAATAAAATTGCGTGCTAATATCGAGTGAGAACTGGGCTCTTAGTAATCATCGTCTTTAATGCTGGCTGGGTTGAGGATGTGTTGAAAATAACATGATAATCAATGCAAGAGCATAATAAATATGCACGTCATTAAGTACGAGATTTGATAAAACTTATTGATTGTACGTTGTATGTGATTGTATGATATACTAATGTGTGAGAGTAGAAGAACATTTTTTTGCGAGTATGATTCTATACCATCAGGGAAACCCAGCGTAAAATGATACTTGCATTGTATTACCTACCAGAGGTCCATAACCTCTCCTAGAAGGCTAATAACGCATGTAGCTGTTCAGAAAGCTTAGTGCGAGTGTTTTATGTTAAAAGTAATAGAAAAGAGACCGCGTTAGGTACTCTGATTCGTTGGTACATGGAGCCATGATTATTTTAAACGTAAAACCAACTCGTACTAAGGCCTCTGATGACACTGGTATTTCTTGGAAGCGTTGATCATTTGGGTTCTATCTCACCGGGGCACCAAGGCGGCGCAACTAGTCGCATCACCGCCAGTAACACACCATACAACGCTATAATAATTAGCGGTGGTACGATCAGTCTGAATGAGCGACCAGTACCACTTTGTGCTGGCGTTCGAGTTGGTAGTGACGCCATATTGGTTGGGCAACCAAAAGGACACCAGATAGAGCTGTGTACATTTTGTTGGTCGCGGCGACTAATCATTTGCCATCAGATTATGTCCATTCGTTCGAAAGCAAGCCTCAAACTTCTCCCTCTAGATATTTTTAAACAATCGCCGAAACTTTACCCAAACTTAGTACATTTAGGGGTAAACGAACTTTTAAATGTATTTTGTTCTGAACCATGCTCAATAATAACTAAGCAGATGCTAGTTACCGCCACCTGCACTCTGAATTTTAGTAATTATTCGTTCAGCGACATGTTGCGTCGCTACGTAAATACCTACAGCTTTTATTTGCGACAAAAGTTATGAACTATAATAATGATCTTCGTGTATTGAGTTCGTGTATCCTGGAAGTCACTTCGTCTTTATTACACACGCTGTTGCTTGCCAGGTCTTTGCTTGAAACTTGGCTAAAAATGCTAGCGCCTGGCTGGCCTTTTAGTGTGCACCATTCAGTAGGAATGTGACATATTTTTAAAGACAAATTTAAATCTTTTATCTTTATTAAATAAGGTATGCCGTTGGTCGATGCCGTGGTAAATCTATTTACTCACTTTACTCATTCGATTTCTGTAGAGGAGAACAAACAAGAACTTATATGGTTACTATTTTATTTATTTATTGCACACTTTATTGCACACACAGAAAAAAATTGTAAACATTGCAATAGTAATTTGAGTACAATGGGCGGCCTTATCACACGCGGCGGTTTCTTCCAGACAACCTTTGGATAGAATTTTGGAAAAGAATCTGGGAATGAGTGGTAGATGCACAATAAAATAAAACCAAAACAGAAGAAAAATCTTTATCAATAAAATACTAACTAATCTAAAATGAGTTCTACAATAAAGCCGCAGTAAGACTAAAAGGTACCCTTAAAACTATAAAATCAATAAGCTGATATTCAAATTGGAATCTCGAGCCCAAAACTTAATAAACATATCTATCATTAATACACAAACAACCTTTCAACCCTCATAAATAATTTAGTTGAATCCACCTTTATAATCCGCATAGGTTAAGTTCATTGTACATTGCTTACGTATATTAAATTACCTTACCGCAGTGCGATAAACTGAACCGTGTAGCTGGGTTTATCCGGCAGGTACCAGGCACCCATAACCTGGGTAGCGATAAGGCGAACGTCCGGCTAGCGTAAAACATTTACCTGAGTACAGGGTAACGACTTCGTAGAGAAATAGTTAACTGTCCTCTATGGAGAATTAACTTTTGGTCGTAATTTTAGTAATATAGTTGAACATATGAGTGTTTTAGGGTGATAATGCTTAATAGTTTCTTTATGAACATTTTCCACAGAATTCTAAGTAATTTCGGATTTAGATATGACGTCAACGGACTCAACTATTTTGTACCCTAAGTTACTTTTTAAACTGTTGCTTATTGAAGCCCAATTGTTTTTATTATTTTTTTGCAAGCAATTGAAGAAAATTTATATTTTTTTTATAATAACTATCGTGAGAAATACTAAATTAACTAAAATCGCTGTGAGCTGCGCGACGTCGCCGCGACCGCGCACGCTGCTCATGAGGAAGAACCTCTCTGTGGTTCGAAACTAGTAGAGCTTTTCTCAGTATATTCACGTGAGTAACCCGCGATTTTAGTTATTTTTTTTAATTAAAAAATATTATGCAAAGCCTAAATTAGCCTTTAGATGTGCTATAGAAACCTTTTGTATTTCGAAGTGTCATAATAAATTACCTCGAGATAGCAACGCACCTGTGAAATTACAATTAAACAAAGAAACAAAACTCCAATTGCTTGAATAAATCAAACCGAACGATGCGCTAAATCACAATAAAAACTTAAAACAGTTCAACTCCAAACTTTATAACAAAACGTCATTACCAGAGATAAATTCCCATGAAAATTAAATTGGGCAACAAAAGCAATATTTCACAAATTAAAATAATTTCAAAAGTAATCATAATGTAAGAAACTCTGTCCGGAAAATGAAACAGATACAACTCGACTTGTCTCATTCTTTACAAGAGAAGTGCGTACTTTAATAAATCTTTTATGCCCGCTTTGCCATGATATATGTACTTATGTACAAGGCACAATGAGTACAAACATTTTACTGAGTTTGCTTTAGAATGTAGACGTTAAACAGACCAACATTACTGTCATGACGCATATATTATCGAGTAGCCTAAACATGTTCATGCTTTCAAATATAAATAAAAGTGTAAGTATAAATTTAGTTTCGTACAAAATACGCGTTAAAATAAGCTGCTTCGGCTTTGGATTAAAGTTTTAAATAGTTAAATATTTACTTAGATCATAACTTGCAGTGAACTGTGGAGATCAACCAAAAACTACAATGTGGAGATCTTACAACGTTTCCAGAATAAAGCGCTCAAAATGATAACTGACGGACTTGTATTTATCAGAAATAGTGAACTGCGCGATCGAATCGAGCATAAAACAAAATCGAATAAAGGCGCATTCTAACACCCTAGGAGGAGGAGGCGGAGGCTATGAAGAATGAAGACCTTTCAATAAAATTAAAGAGCAAACTGTTTAACGCCTGCGTATTACTTGTCCTCATCTATGGTAGCCAATCATGGGCCCTAACTCAAGATCTGTCAAATAAACTTGCAAGCTGCCAATACGCAATGGAGAGGAGCATGATAAACGTTAAAAAAAGAGACAGAAAAAGGAAAACAGACATACGATACAAAACAAAAACAACAAATGTAACATTAAAAATAAAAAGACTGAAATGGAGATGGGCAGGGCATATGATCACAGGGCAAGAGAAGTGGAGCAAAATCGTAACCAGTTGGTACCCCAGGGAAGGAACCAGGAAAAGGGGTAGACCTCTTAAAAGATGGGATGATGGCCTCAGGCAGGTGGCAGGAGTTACATGGCACAGAGTAGCTCAAGAACGAAACGAATGGAAAAGGTTGGAGGAGGCCTTTGCCGAAAGGCAAACAGATCTCCAAAAAATAAGTAATAGGTATTTTATAGATACTACACCTAAGTAATGCAAATCCTAGGCAATATTAAATTATGTAACAGTTATTAGTTGTATCTAAATAAAGGGCTAACACCCTAGCGATGGCTTTATATAAACCAATAAACGTCAGAAGGTTAAAAAGACAACATACTCGGGATTTTATCTAGTGGATGAATCTTTATATTAGTTTAGAGACCGCTTCTTCACTGGAGGACCAGTGACTTCTGCGAATGGACTCCTTCAAAAAATCTGCTAAGGGCTTTTAAAGCTTATCGCGAGATACAGCTTTATAAAAAATACTTGGATCTTTCAGAATCACTTGCATAGTTACTCAATTATTGTCAGTTATGTGACGAGTTCTATTTGTAGTACCTAAATTGTGACAACTAGAATCTAAATGGCTTTAAATAACTTTTCATTTTCATTGAACTTTTCACCAAACGTAGAGGTACAGTTCAGCGTTCATAGTATTCAATTTGAACACCAAAGAAGAATCAACTTACAAAGTGTTAACAACTGTCAATAACATTCACCACTTCATTTTTGTGTTGGCGTTTTATTCCCAAGTCATAATACCACCAAGTTACAGCATAAAGCCTCGAAGAGCTCTTCAAGTAGAATGAAAATTTCCATTTTTATGTACCCACATTTTTCTCAAGTTTAATTCAAACAGGCAGATAGACGTTAAGAAGATAACAATGCTTACTGCTTCTCGGAAAGTACGGTTGATACGACCGTTAAACGCTTTTAGATCCTTTTTATGAAACTCAAAAATATTTAATAATGGACCAAATTGCTTTTCCTTTTACACCAAAATGTACAAGTGAGTGTAAATTGAACTTGACTCAAAATGACTTTTTGATGGAAATCGTTTTTCTGCGTTATTGTTTTGCTTTATTTTGTAACTTGTTTTGTTCTTGTGGACTATAATTATGGACTTTCAAGATTCTACATTCATTATTGTAGGCACAATTATCTGATACTTCATGATTCTGTTTTATGTAGGAAATATTTGAATTCTCATTTTACATTGGGTATCCCTCGTAACCTCGTATTATTAAGAATTTATGTACATAGAGCTTAAAACATTTTAAAATAATTTGGACTTAACGGGGATACTAAAGTAGGTTTTTTAAAATTATCTTCTCTCTTTGTTACAGGATGCACAAATTACCTGGCCCAGCCCACCATGGACAATGGGCGTCCAATTGACTTAGCTTACGATATAAATATAGCTAGTAAGTACAACTCAAATATATTACAATGTAAACGTAAATAAGAAAAAATAATAATGGAATACCATAGCTACAGTTCGGAACAAATACCTACAACACCGAGAGAAAAAATGGAAACGCCTGGCGCAGAAAAAAAATTAACTGAACTATGTGGAAAAATTCCGCCCCTCGTATTTTCCGCCTCAAGAACATTCTTTCACAAATCCAATATCAGGTTACAAAGGTAGGCGAAGTCTTTTGTAACCAAAGATTAGTCGTACGTGTTCCGTGCTTTGAAACGAACGCATTGTATTCCTATATTCTGTATTGGATTTTTCAAATAGCAAAGACGAATGTGATCGATGTTCCATAGTCGTTTGGTACGGCATGGAAACTAGCTGGTAATTAGAGCGATATTCAGTGTTGAAGTCTTAGTATTCATTTCAGACAAATCATTGGCAGGCAGTTTCGAATAACCATAATAGAACTGTCTGTTAGTTAGGTAATATTCTGGTTAAGCTAGTTTCTAGTTTTAAATGGGTAAGTAATTTTTAGAAGACAGAATTAATGTGATCATTACAAATACGTAGATTGAGTGCCGGTATAAGAGACACAATAAAAAACACATAGAAAACACATCGCTTAGATCTACGTTCCGGCATTCCACGGGTTAAGAAAACCAGACGTGGAAAGAATATTTAAAAATACATAATATCCATTCGTACTTTGGGAATAGAGTAATAAAATAATTGCACGTCTTTGTTTTCGTCTAGTCATGATATTTTTTTCTTTTATTTAGATTACGTGCGGACGATGATATCTTTTGGTATCATCAGCTTATTCGTCATGGCTATGGGATGTGGCTTCTCCGTGTACACCTTCCACAACCCTCGGTACATGTTCAAGCGTCTTGCTGCCGGCATCCATTTCATTAGCAGTAAGTACTTCAGAGTAATTTAATACTATTAATTGTCTTGCAGTTTCCCCAGTGTTTACCAAGTTTGCGATTTGGACTGATTTTCCTAAAATTCGTATTTTATCAAATATTCTATTTGTTTTTTTTTCTTATATTTGATGGGCCGACGTTTGACTACTATCTTGCCTGGTGATAAGCGATGATGCGCTCTACGATGGAGCACGTCGTCCCATAAGTTTTTTTTGTCCATTAACTTTACTTTTTACTACATCTATTTTATCTTTCCAGCATCATGCACATTCGTTGTTGTGCAAGTAATGATGTCTTCAGTAGACCATATGAAGAAGAGTGTGAAATTCATCTATCCAGCGTGCCTACCATTAGTAAGTATTGATTACGTAATCATTTTCTTAAATATATATGTATGTTGACAATTTTTGTTGCATTCAAGTTACCTTCTAAAATATAACTTAACTAAATATAAAGTTCTGAAGAAACGAACTTCACATTACTTGCTATTCAAGAAACGTCTCCATTCAGAAACATTCTTCATTCAATTTATAAAGGTACATACGTACAACACGTGCCTTTCACAAATTGTATTGATCCTGACTTTACAATTTAAAGACGACATTTATTCGAAGCTTTGCAGATGTGGCGTTATTATCGGTATATTTTCAATTGACCCTAATGGCACTCTATTCTCATGTCTTCTGCAAAATCCTATTCCTCCCGCATACAATGCCATGCTTTTGACGTATTACTAACTGTCGTGATGGACGTTTGTATACGATCGGACCAAACGCATGTAAAGTGCGGCTAACACCGGCTATTGTTTATACGAGCATTATCAGTTTGCGTTGAAAGCATTCCATTGTTGAATTTTGTACAGACATTTCAACCATATCGTGGCTTGATCCCATATTTTATTTAGTTTACGTCACGTCATCTTTTCTTTTCTCCACAGTTACAACATCAGCTTCTTCCTGGCCTGGTTCGTGGTTCTCGTCAACCTCTTCGCAGCTGCTTCTTTCCTCTGGTACTCCCGCAAGAGGAAAGGTGATAAAGCAGCCACAGACGAGCTGGCCATGGCTGATGAACCAACAATCATCGGCCGATGACGCTTCCAGCGCATCATTGTCACGCGACATCTCCAGTCGCGGGAAAGCTTCCTCAAATCTTTACTGAACAGTGCTCAAATGACCAATAGCTGTAACTATGTTCAAGTCTTCCATGTAATGTATTCTACGAAAATAAGACTAAGTGATGCGGCCCGGGTGATGTTTTGCCATTCGAAGATTATAGCAAAATTGTTCGATTCGTTTATTTGGAATTTTATTCGTAGTGAAATCATATTTAATGTCGTTAGTTGATTCTAACCGTGCAGTAGAAAACGATCATCAAAACGAAAACAACTGTCAAACTACGTTAAAGATAAATCTGATTTTACTGAGATGGAATAGCTGATAAATTGTCAGTACCAGATAATTCCGTATCTAGTCGCTTTTCAAAGTCGACGGAGTCAGCTCTTACGCCTGATTGGTTTCGAAAACGGTGAAATTCGTTGGAGCAATCGCTTTCGATCAGGAGGTGCAATGAGTTCATCCGATTAACTCAAGCTGGGACTCGGTTTGAGTCGCATCACTAACATAATTACACAACGTCAGTTTCAGCTTTTAGACGATTCTTGACTGATTCTGTTACCTTGAATTTAATTACACCCTGAATGTTAATCGTGACGTTTATATTATTACGCCTTGTTAATCTTATAAGCGACGGAAAAATAATCTTTATTGCGACATTTTTTATTACCGGCTTGCAATATTTTTATGTGAAAAACGTATTTAAACTTTATGCGCCTCGGACTTATAGGATTAACGAAGTTAACGTACATCGTGTTATAAAATAGCGGTTTTTTATAATTCAAACATGCGTAATCTTTTGCGTTGATATGTAAATATGTTGTACTTTTACTATGCTGCCATGAGACTACGTGTAACTTGATTCTAGTCATACTTATATTTATAATGCATTATGTTTGTAGGGATCACTTCCGTAATTAGTTTGAATATTTAATGGTGAAACTCATGTTCTGTTTTGCGTAAACACAAAGATAAAATTATATTTGTATTAGTGTAATTTGTATCCATATAAGAACAAGTCGAGTTGGGACCAACGGGACATAAAATACATTATAGTCTAAACATCGGGGACTTATTTATAGAAGTTCTGTGGGGAGCGCAAGAAACGCTATCTTCGGAGTGAACTTAGTGTGAGTTGAAATTACGGAATGCGTCCTGAAGAGTGGTATTGTTTATTCCATTATATTTGCATTATCGTGTGTATTGATGTTATGTATGTTCTTCTTATATATAAAATTCTTTTTTATTGAATAAATTATTCAAACTTTTATTTTATTTATTTCCTCTAGATACCTCTAGATCAAATCCTAAGATACCAGCTAGACACCGTACGTTGTAATGTAAGTATCTCAACAATTGTAGCAAAGGAAAACCAACCTTTTGCCCATAACATAGTCTTAGGTACATGTAATAGCCAGTGTTCAGACGGCCCAATTACCTTTAACTAGACTTGCGTCTAGACACAACTGAATTTGAAATCGAAAACCTAACAATATCTAATTCCGAGTTTGCAAACTATGCAATAGCACCGCTCTGTCCATTTTGTTTACACAACTCATCATAAAGAAACCATACGAAACGACTTTTCATCTTTTAATTAAAGCATGTTTACGCTGGAATGACAAAATGTTATGAATAAAATTAAAAATGGCTTCATATGTTTTGGTTGCATTGAAGTAACGTCCCGGATTGATGAACTGCGGTCCAAGTCTTTAACATTTTACAACAGAAAAAATGTCGTATAAACTTTTCGACGAAGTTATTTTGAGATCAGCATTGTCGAAAGTCTGGCAGCGGCCCAGAGCTGAGCTGTGACACTGCCAACGTGAGCAGAGGTCAGTGGCCTAAAAAAACGCTGATGGAAAAACCGGTAGTCAAGAGTTACTGACTCGAAGGTCTACCGGTCTTTTGATCGTTTCGTCTACTGGAGGGTCTTTTGTATTTCCGAAATCTGCAGGTGACGTAAGGAAAATGACGCCCGTAATGTTAGCAATATCAAGGTTTTCAACAACGTAAACTGATATTTTAGCTCGCAGATTACATAAAAGTCTACAAAAATAAATCTTCGGCATGTCAGTTAAAATTAAAATGGTTGTCGCTTTTTTGTTCGTAAAACGATGCCTCTCGCATTTTTCCACTATGAAAGAAACAAAGACGAATATTTCACGGTCTTTTATAACTAGGGACTGGACATTTCAACTTTTATTAAATATAATTTTGCAGGATTAAGCTAAAAGAAAGGAGAATATTAGTGCGAGATACCTACCATTAACTGGCATCCTTCAAATTATCTTAAAACAGAAGTAGATAAGAATGTGTTGTTGTTTCCACAAACATTAGTTTAGTGTTTATAAATATTTTGTGATATACCTACTGAAATACCTATTAAATAACAATTTGGTGTGCATACTAAAAAGCATGTAAGTGTTAATTAACCTAGTTTCAGCCATATTTACCTGTATTCCGTGACTTATGTCTCTTCAGGGATTTAAAAGCCGTGATATAGTGTAGAACTATCAGATTTACATAATACAGGTAAAAAGCCTGAAGGGATGGCTACCTTTTAATACTACATCAAAAATATATCTACACAATACGTATCCAAAACAAAGATCCGTCAACCAGAAATATTTGGGACGCAGCAAATCAAATCCCAAAGGTAAGATAACTTAAGTTTAGCCTTTGGCTAAAGGCGTAGACACTTAATTAAACCAATATTCGTCACGTATGTTGTTGAATGATATACCTCTATTATAAAAAATGAACCTACTTCATATCGTATTGTCGCGGAGAACCTAACGGGTTACCGGGGCTCTGGCTCGACGTGAAGGAGAAGGAACGAGGTGGTTTTTAGTCAGTAAGAGTCTGACACTCACTGGCCTCACCCAGGCGGGAGCAGTCATTCGATGATTTTCACCCCTTAAAAAAGTGCATATCGTATATATAATTGTGTATACTGGATATAGTCTCAAATTGCCAAGTCTCAATTGCTTAGTGTATTTAATATTCTTTCAAATCTTCAAGAAAAGAGCGTATTCCTTTTTAAAAGGCCGTCAACGCACCTGTACCTCTTCTGGTGTTGAGGCTGTCCATGGGTAGCGCTGATCGCTTACCATCAGGTAATCCTTTTGCTCGTTAGCCCCATATTCCATTCCATAAAAGTATAACTTGCCTCGATAGGAGAATTGGTAAAGAAATTAAAAAAGTGAATATTGATAAAGCAACAGCTTACTGTGACAATCGTTATATTACAAATTATAACAATCATACATAATATGCTATCATTCTCCAAAAGAAGCAAAGTACCTATATTTGAAATCGTTATTTCAGACTCAACATTAGATTGAGAGTGACCTTAAGTCGAAAAATCGGCGTCTCTGATCAAACACTCCAACACGTACAGTTCAGTTTTAGTCTATTTATAAACCAGGCACACTTTGTAGTGTGTTTTTATCATACTTAAAAATCTATTGAGTTCGCTAAAACAGTTCATCATCGTCATTGTCATCAACAGCCTATAAATGCCCACAGCTGAGCAGTAGGCATTCATCCTCTTCTCACACGGAGAAGGTTTGAGCATTAATCACCACGCTTGCTCAATACGGGTTGGCAATAGTTCATCAAACAAGCCCAATAAAAGGACAACTTGTGAACCTAAATAAAAATCTAGCAAATTAAAAAAGTTACTCATATTTTTTGCTCCAACATCGAGGGCCAGTGAATAAACATGAAAGCGCCCCACAATAAATTAATATCGAATTCATAACAGGAATTTACCAATTTCATTGTAAAATTCCGAACAAATTCCACGAAAAAATAAAACCTTATTTTTCATGCCGTCATGCATCTGCAACTGGCATCAAAGCTTTGAAACCATTTTGAAACCGTTCGATACTCGTTTATTAGTTACCATGGCAACCATTCAACAGTCTTCGCATGTTGTGCTGGGAAGATAATAATGGAGTGAAATAATTTCGGGTTGTAACCAAAGATCAATAAAAGTCGAGTAATTCAAACGAATCACGCGATATGACTGGAACCAAGGTACACTTTAACATTTTCGTCCCTTTCAATTTAATTAACTTGATACAGTTTGCATGCAACCGAGTTGTTACGTCAACGGCAACGTTTGCTTTCGTAGAACTTTGCACGAACCCACGAACTCGTCCCCTCGAGACTTCATTATTAGCATTTGTATTGTAATGTCCATGATTTCAGCTTTAAGAACTTACAGTGACGTTCTTTGCATAATTTATTTTACGACGATTCAAAAATGACATTTCATTGCGCAGCGAAATAAAAGTTGTCTCAAAGTATTTTCATTTTAGACTTTTAACGAGTCATTTGAATTAGGGATATTTTAACGAGTTTTTTTTTATGTGAGGCTGTTGTTTATACATTTTTGCATCAGCGCTTGTAGGTCATTGAAAGTTTTAATCTCACACTTGTACCATTATATTTCGTTTGTAATCTTTACTTTTGCGTACATTGTATTACATTGTACTATTTTGTAGAATGTATGCGTAAGTACATTAATTTGTATTCTAAATTGCAATTCGTAACTATAGTTAGAATTTTAATTAGATTCCAGATTTGACAATAGCTACTGTCATTTTGTGAAATAATGATACCACATATAATAGTGTAGTGATGCACACAAAAATCGATAAACAATCATTGTGTGTGTTTTATAATAAATGTTACAGAAAGTGACAGGATAGCGATAGCGATGACGGTGACAATTTATAAAATAACTTATTACCATAATACATCTATCTGTTTTGTTTGTCATGTTCCTTCATGATTACATTTTTTTATTTATTTCACACACAATTATAAAAGAAACGTCTCAGATCGTAAATAATCGTCAAAACTAAATTATCGGTTCAGAAATATTTAATTTCCTGATATACTTAGTTCACGAGAGTAAAATTATAATTATTATAAACGAGAAGAATCGATCCAGAAATATTTCATTTCTATATCGAATAATTTCGCAACGTCACTATTTAGTACTTGTCATTACGTTGCCACACTGAAATTGTCAAATCTGGAATCGAATTAAAATTCCGAGTATAAATTGTAGTTTATTGTACTTTATTATTTACCTTAGGGGCAGGTTCCTTTTTGCCAGTTATATGTGTTCAGCGATATTGCTATAATGAATTCACAAACTATTACGTCAGTACTTTCCACATAAAAATATAATATAACGTCACACCTTTTATCCCTGAAGGGGTAGGCAGAGGTATGACTTAATGCCGGTGTACAATGTAATATCCACTTTTCACTATTTATGTTATGAGTCCCATGTAATATAGGGTGAGTCTATTGGCATATACCGGGCACAATTTTAGATAATACAAATGTTTAATGTAGTTTTGACACTATAATACTTACCTACATTGAACTGTAAAATATACTCATAGGAAAATAAAACAAAGGAAGAATCGAAATCGAAAGCAAAACCGAAAGCTGAGCAAGTAACTGTTGCTGAGACTGAAGCTAAAACTGACGCCAAACATAAAGCTTCTGAGCCTGAAGAAGAAGAAGATGAAGGTAGCAGTGGTTCTAGTTCCACTACTACCAAATCCAAGGGTATGTTAATTCATTATTATATTTGAACATGTCGTGTCATGTCGTGGTGGCTCGGAGGTTTACGCCTGCTTCTCATGCATGAGGGTGCGGGTTCGAAACCTACCAACGGCAAGTACCAATGTGACTTTTTCCGAGTTATATGTACTTTCTAAGATTATTTAGACACCACTGACAAACGGTGAAGGAAAAACATCGTGAGGAAACCTGGGCTTATAATTTCTAATTATAAGTTTGAAATCGCCAACCCACATTGAGCAAGCGTGGTGATTAATGCTCTAACCTTCTCCGTGTGAGAAGAGGCTTTGCTCAGCAGTGGGCATTTATAGGCTGTTGATGATGATGATGTATCGATATATGTTTAAAATGGAGCCTCTAATTTATTACTCACATAGTGCAGTGGAATTAAGTTGGTTTCAAATAACTTTGAGTACCGTCATTATAGACACAATTAAAGAACAATAGGTTGCAGTCACCGGTGTCCTCGCGGTGTTTGACAGTTTAAATTATGATTAGCGGTTAGCGGTCATAGTACACCATTTCAAATTTAATTTGACACATAATAACTTAGGTAGAGATGTACTAGTTAGAAACAAAAATAGGTCATCTTATTTTTACAATTTTGATGGGCTGACGTTTGACCACTATCTCGTCTGGTGGTAAGCGATGATGCAGTCTACGTTGGAGCACGTCGTCCCATAAGCGACCTATTCACTCGGGCCTTAAAGACATCCAGGCTATTACCCTTTAGGAAATACTGACTCTGGCAAAGAATTCCATTCCTAAGCAGTACGCACAAGGAAGCTTGATGCGAAGCGCTTTGTGCGTGTGGATGGGACACCAATCATGAATCTATTCTACCATAAATACAGAGCCGAAAATTAATTTTCATATCGAAATTTTCTTTGCAGCAAGCAAAGAAAGCTCTGAAGGTGAAGTGAAAGGAAGAGATGAGAGTCAGCAAATAGGCAATGCACCATTAGGAGGCATTTATATAGATCGGGAAGAATATTTGGCTGCTCATAGAGAACTTACAATGGAGCGTCAGCATCAACAGGTTCTTAATAACATACTGCATCGGAGGCTTGCTGAATATTACAAGTATGTATAGCTATATAAACTTATTGTGGCTTTAGCTAAATCATCTATTATATTTTTGTAATCAAATTCAATGTAGACGTTTCCACTTTTTCTTCAAATTGGTGTCTTTGATGTCTTTGTCTCTGCGTTTTGTGCAAGTTATATACAGTCCTAGGAAACCAAAAAAATCAGTCGTAGGAAATCTATCAAAAACTTGAAGTCACCAACTTCAACTTGAGCAAACGTGGTGATGATTGTACCGTCAACACCAAATGATTATACCGTCTCTATAACAGATGTGTCAAAAAGTCAGAAGTAATAAAACTTGTCAAAAGACTATAAGTATCCTAATATTTGTAATAGTATTTATCGTAATGTAGTCATTAATGTAAACACCAAATTAAATAGCGTCAGTTTACAACGTGATATTTAATCATAAAAATGTCTTCAGAACGTTAATCAAAAACATCACAGTAAAGGCGAAAGCATTGCAACATTTACCTATAAAACAACATTATCTACCATATGACGTCATAATGAAAATAAACCTTCTAGCATATTGCACGCGGCAGTAACAAGACAAATACATGGCAGAATAGAATAAAATTTTTCAACCGTGAAATAAAAACTGACGGTATATTTATTTTTCTAGTCATCGTCTCGAGTTTGGCGCAAACATCTGAATTGCTCATTTGTATTGAAAGAAAATACTAGCCCACTGAACTGTATAAGAAAAACAAGAAGTTGTATAATACTTTGGCAGGCGACTCTACGTGTTGTCATGTCTATGGCAGAAAGCCGATGTTTTGCAGTTTATTTTATTCGTGAATAAATATTTGAGATATGAACAATTTTGGTAATTGCTTGTGACCTTCTGGCGCGTGCTAACTATATTGTGAAATTCTACAATATGGGTTTTGGTGGATATCAATTACTTAAAGCCGAATATTTTTTTTTGGCTTAAAACAAAAAGATACAAACAAAACATTGAGTAAAATGTATTGTTTCAGGAAACGTAAATGCGAACATGTTTTGAAACCTTTGGAAGGCGCTGTGGATTTGGAAGAAAAATATCAACAGAAGCTACTTTCTTATGAAGAACTCAAGGAGAAAGCTGAAAGGGAAATTGCTGATGTAAGGTCTAAGTTTCTTGCAACAAACTCAGATGTTCAAAACACAGGATAAACAAAACAAAAAAGTTTTTAAGTAATTCAGAAAATTTCACGCTTATTTTCATCTTGAAAAACACATCATTTGCATAATTAGTTATTTTTCGAGTAAAAGTTAAGACATGTTCATTCTTCAGTTAACTAAAAATAACATTCAACAAGAGGTTCAATGTAATAATATTATGTATGTATCCACTTTAATGGTAATAATAATTTTATATTTTTCAATATCAGCAACAAGGCTGCTGTTTACAAATACAACGGTGTAAGAATTACCGATGCTTAAAAAATGTAATCACAGTAAAAATATTGAAGTAATGAAAAACTCCTTACTCCTTCTTACTCCTCCTTAGATAAGAAAGAAAGTTAGTGAGGTCGAAGAAACGTATGCTGGAAGGCATGAACATGCCAACAAGAAGTTTGAAGGATTGCAACATCTAGAAAGATCCACTGGATCAGGTCTTATTTATTCTAGAAAAGGGAAACCTATAGCTGATAAGGTACGATATTAGGGCTCGTACACAAAACTGTGCGATTGCCGCATTGCAAAAATGTGCGAGCACACTTCTTTTTACGATCCATGTCACGATCTAGTTTTCAATTTAAAATACGCTTGATGATCGTCGCAGGAATGGTCACACTGGGAGACGCCTTGTCGCACGAAATCGCATCGCAGCAATTCGCATCGTAATTTTTTGCGTTGCGAATTCGTATCGCAGTTTTGTGTACGAGCCCTTACTCAAACATTAAAAACTGAAAACTCAAGAAAATATTCAGGTTAAATCGTTGATTGAAAAAATCGTCAACTATGCAAGTAATTAATGACATATTTTAAAATACTCCTACTTTCTTTGATATTATCTAAGTCCAAGCTAATTATTAGACCACATCGTTAACTTATTCTTTATCAAATGGATAACAACTATTTTTTTATATTTTAGACCGTAGAAAGGTTTCTCACTCTTCAAAGGCGTAAGAGTGAACAATCTTCGGCTCTATGTCTTCGATATATACGAGCGAGGAACGCAGTTGCCGAACTTGAAGCCATTGTGAAAAATCTGGAAACTCTTGGACCGGGACTTTATGTATATCAGTATGAGCAGCTTAATATTGACAACCAAAATTACAACACCAAGATTGAAGGTAATTTTTAACCCTTTTTGAGTCGTCCGTCATTATAGACACGATTAAAGAACAATAGGTTGCGGTCACCGGTGTCCTCGCGGTGTTTGACAGTTTAAACTTCAATGCTAAAAGACAGTGAACTTCCCAAGTTGAATGGCACTCTTTTTTGCCTTTGTATTTGCAAATAATACTTTGTGAATATCGCTATTATATATACGCCGCTCTCTTTGAGAACTAAGACAAATACAGGAAAGCATTTAAAATACCTACATTACAATTCATTCCGAAAAATTTTAAAGATCCTTTCATGAGTCTGACACCATTTTCAATTGGCCATAACAAAATTAATTACGTTTTCACAGAACGTGAAGACGAACTTATAAAAAACCGCACGAAGTGTACAGAGCATAACCAAATCTTGGCTCACATCAGAGAGAAGATGCATCACACTGACGAGGTCATTGACTTTGCCGAATGTGATCTTGGGGACGCTGAAATGGAATTTTACAGGGCTCGAGAAGATCTCGGCATGATTAAGGTAATTGGTTCTCTTGATCCTTGTTTTAAATTAACTGCAGTAGTTGACTAGGAGTTTGCGTTTTGTGGAGCTCCAAATTAGCCATTAGAGTGGATAAAGATGGGTTTGTGGTAATTGATTGTAATCTACCACTCTTAAATAACAATTTATTTGTACTGGCCAAATGCAATTGCCATAAAATTCTAGTAGGCAATTCACACTCTTTTTATTAACAGAGCCGTCGCAATAAACTTCGCTGGTCGTTGGAAGAAGAAAGGCTCAAAGCAGGTCTCCTAACGAGAAAAGATTTACTGCGAGACTTCCAAGCTTCCTTGGACGAGGTAAATGATATTTATAGAACATTACTGCACGAGGCTATAGTTAAAAAGAATGGATGTGATGCTGAACTTTGAAGCCATTTTGTTTCAATAGTACCCTAGGGTGATTTTAGCTTTGTTTTATGTTCAGCATCATTGGAAAAGTCTGTAGTTTATCTCTTTCACTTTACGAGAGACTAGGAAAATCGGCAGAAAATCCTCTGGACATTTTATCGAGGCAATCGATATAGTTTCGGAAAAGTTGCAACCCCTCTGATTAGTTTTCAAACTACAGCATAGTTCTTATCATTTAGCGTTGCTATCGTGTGTCGAACTTTATGTGTTTGTATTTGGCTATGAACGATGGAGTTTTATAAAAGCTTGACTTCTTGGTTTTGTGGGCAAATAGGTATAGCGATTTTGTCGTATAACCAATTAAAAAATAATAATTACGTATTATAGTTTATGATACTTACAGTTGTTTATCTATTGTTATTATTGTTTGCCGTTATTATACTAAAATGAACCGTAATATGATTTTAGGTGGTTCAATTAGGACAAAGGAAGAAACAACTGGAGACTCAGGTATCACGAGCCTCCAAAGAGTTGAGGCATGCTCGCAAAACAGTACTGGCTCAAAGTAATTTACACCGTCATCATGTAGGATAAAACTGCTGGTACGACTGTCAAACAAAAATTAACCTAATTGCTCTATCAGTTCAATCATTTGTATCACTTCAACAGTAAGTATTATGTTTGTTGTACTTAAAGACGAAAATGCAATGATATTTTTATCTGAATTTTTTTTTATAAATGGGTCTTCTTGTTGTAACTATTAATTAGATCGTGTTATATTTTTTATGTTGGTAATATTGTATGAAACATTCGAAATTTATTTAAATTATTATAATAACATTATACTTGATTTTGTAGCGTGTTTTATTGTGTATATTTTTCCCGGTTTTTTGTGTCGTAAAATAAACAACTGTTTATTTGCTAAACTTAGCATCGAAAGTATTTTGGATTCTTCTCAAATACAAGATTTTTAGATGAATGCCTTATTTCGAAGATAACCTTATTTTAAAGAGTTCCTAGGTCATTTTTGAGACCATTCCTTTAAATATTGAATTCTTATCCTGTAGCTCGTCCTGCTTGTTATCATTAGGTATCGATATTACTAATGTACCAACAGAAATTACAAAGGTCAAATCAAACATTGCCTTGTCGATATTATCTTGGGTCAAATAACACGAACACTGTCGAACTTCGCAAACTTCTTATCGACAGTTTCAGTATCGAAACGGAACATTAATTTCCAGCTTTCAATCACTAAACCTTGAAGGAGGACGTTTGACGTCACTAATTAACCTTCGTCACAATTATCAACTTTATACCCTTAATGATAAAGTTTCGTATTAGTTGCTTAAAATTTAATTGTATGTAGGTAGTTTGTGAAGTTTTGGTGAACGTTAGTAGTTTCTTGGCAAGTTTGAGATCCTAATTTCTTATAATGTTTATGTTTACTGTCTTTTCTTTCATCCTAGCATGAGGTCTGGGTCGATTTTAGTGTCGGTTACAGATATATTTACTGTACCTATTCTAGAGTGGTATAATATAGGCTATAAAACAAATTAAGTATCAAAAGTCATCTGTGGAAAAATTATATCATATATCATGCATCTATGTATATAATTTTAGACTCAATATTATCTATACTTTAAGCTCAAAGTGGTATAAGTAATTTCATCCTGAACTATGTTTAGAGCACATTAGGATGATATCTATATCAAGATACGGATAGTGTGAGTACCTACAGCTTAGGTATCAATATTGTTTGCTGTCGTCGGAAATTATTGTTCAATTAATTCCCAAAGTCGTTTATGATATAATTTACTTGCATGGCGCCACGTTATAGACGCCACACGATGCACGCAACGTTTGTTCAGACAGTTTTTTATCTTATGTATTGACACCCGAGCTGAAAAACATTTTTTCGCACTTTAGTGTTGTAATTTCTTCACCACAGAACGTATAAAATTTAACTTTAAAATAAACTACAACTAAACTCTTAAATAAAAAGAAAGTAAAAGAAAACAACAAAAATTATACCCTTAATTTAGGCGTCAAAGTATTCGTCCGCATCACTATCACAGGGGAAAGTTCCCAGAAGACTGGCAGCATTGCCACGTTGAATGGCAATGCTTATTTTCTGTCCGAAGAAAAAGCTAGCCCTCTGGTCACGTGTAGAGTCGATTAGCCTACGGGCGATGTCTTTAAACACAGAGTGTGCACTGGGACCACATGGCCCAAGTGTTTCGACCCCAAACGGCTCAAAACAGTAGTTACCCACTAGATTTGAATATTTACGCCGTTTGAGGGCCTCTACCGCGGAAGCAGCTGCACCAACGCATGCAGCGGTGCTTAAAAGATGTGATGGCGCAAGGGTGTCTACACACGTCGCGTCCCACACCAAAGGCCTACCCATCTTCCAAGGCAGCAACGACATACCATCTGGTCTTTTGCCGTCATTACGTACCAAACCATTAGGTTCTAATACGGCTGGTACACCGGCTGAGGCAAGAGCACGACGAATGATGTCGTTGATGCTGGCATGGCGAGCTATGCGGCCTGCACTTCTGCAACAAGAAAGACCATGGTGTCCCAAGCCATCGACTCTTTCTCCACAGTGACAATAATGCGGAGAAACACAAGGAGCACCTAAACGTAGGCATACAGCTAGGCGGAACGTTATGTCATCCAACATAGATAAAATAAATTTAATCTATATAAATAATAATGAATTTTCATTCGTTAGTCTTGCTAAAACTTGAGAACGGCTGAACCAATTTGACTAGTCTTGGTCTTGAAATGTTCTTAAAAGTCCAGGGATGGTGTAAAAGGTGAGAAAAAAATAGAGGTGGTACGAAGTTTGCCGGGTCAGCTAGTAGGTACCTAAATAATAGAATGATTGCGAAGTTACTAGTAACAAGTTTTAAAGTTTTAGAATTTACAACACAACAAAGCAGATACAATACTGTTTTGTCAAAATTAAATAACACAAAGAAAAGTATTAAAAAAGGAGATTTATTATAAGAAACAATTCGATTATAAATTCGTCTATACTATTATTACGTTCATGAGAACTTAAGATTATAAGGCACTGTAAGTTGTACTATAAAATATTAGTTTATTATGTTCTTTCATCACTGACTAGTTGCACTGGGTGTATTGTCTCTTTCTACTAAATCATGATGAACTGGCTTTGTGGTCTGATAATCTGACGGATTCTGGTTGTTCAACGGTGTCTCTGGTTAATGGGCCATGTTTCCAGCCTTCAGGGTAGCCGAATTGTCTGACGTCATCCCACCATTGCTGTTTGCCATCAGCCCAAATGCAGTAGATTACGTTTGTGCCTACCAGCACTGCGAAGCATACCCAGAACGCTACTCGCCATTGTGCTAGCGTTGACTGAAACAAAAGAGGATATTATTTAGACGGATTTAGTTGACAAACCTGTGTGTTGTGCTGACAACAGCTGTGTGAGAAGTATTGTAAAAATAAATAACCTCGCACTTGCTTAAACCTTTGGTCTTATTCAGAATAACTGGTTATCAAACATATTTTGATTCCAAAGTAAGGCTTCGGTCGATGGTATAAAAACCAATCAATTTTATCACGATAAAAATCTTGGATATCTGATAATTATTATAATGAAAATAAAACCAAGATTATGAAGACAAAGACACCCCTATTACACACTTATCCTCAGAAGTGGGACATCTAACCTCCTAGTTGAAAGCCCTTGACAAATCCGCCTTGAAACAAAGAGATAGCCTACAAGTACAAGAGAAACAGATTACAAAATAATATTGTCCAACTTGGAGAGGCTTTTGTCCATTTATAGAAGTTACTTTCCCATTGTTACTTCGCTTTGTTAGTTTAGAACTTCAGTCTAGGAAGCATGACCTAGTCTTTGAAAAGATAAATACCTAACTTCGTCATTCTACGTTTCGATTTATTGTACAACCTCCTTCGGATTAGAAAACAGTGATATTAAAAAAAAACAATTATTCTTCGTCAAATTTCTTATTCGAAAATAGATCAACTTTGCTTGGTTTGGCTTCAACTTTTTTCCCAATAGTACGGATTAGCCAGTATTAGTTGGCCTTTGTTTACTTGAACTTGTTTATGATTTATATGCTGTTGTGTTTTGACCTCGAAATATTAAGATAACGTCCACTTTGTTCCCGATGTTTATTGAATGAATGAAAATGAATATTGAATGTTATTTTTAAAGCAGCGTAAAATTTTATTGAACTATAAGAATCAGTTGAATCGCTATTGAAATCGTATTTATAAATGGATTATTATTAGCATTATTACACAGTTATTGAGTGTATTTTATTTCTAGTACATTATTATTCGATTTACTACAGTCAAATTTTTCATTTTTCCTACATATTTGAAAATACATAGGCGATAAAGTTAGATGTAATTTAATCAAAATCAAAATATCCACTTTTGCATTCATAGCGAATTATGTAACGCTATGATTGCGAATGTATGAACTTTCGGAATACTCTTCTCTCTCTTTATCTATTCCAATGAAACACAAAATAATTAAGATATACAATACAATTCGTGTATCGCGCATTTAACGCCCTTAAAATGTAATGCAAAATCCAATCGTAAATTCAACTGAGTAAAGTTAAATTTATTCATTCGTGTTTTTACGAGGTAAGAAGCAATTAACCTAAATACAGTAACGTGTAGACTTTATCAAATATCAAAGCGGAGGTAGGGTGTGACTGTGTTGATAGCAACAGGTCGATTAGTACAAAAATTTACGGGGCTAGAATAATGTATTCTAACGACCCACGTAGGACTGCCAATTTTGTTATTTTGTTTGTTAGTTTGGACAGCGGAGCATTACTGATACATTCAACGGGATCATAGACAAGAAAGGTTAAGCATAACAATGATGGAAAACCTCTGTAGATGCCCTCTTACTTCTGTTAGGGGTATGGCTTTATGCCATGACTTTAAGTTACGATAGAAAAGAAATTAAACGCAGGATTAGTAGTTGTTCTTTATGGGATACGCTGGTAGGAGGTACGAGCAGACGGATCACCAGATGGTAAGCAATCGGCATCGGCCATGGACATTAGGAACGCGGGAGGTGTTACAAGTGCTTTTGGGATTAGGCATTTGAGGATTGTTCGGGATTCAGGGATTGGGGGAGAGGTGGGTAATTAGGCCTCCGGTAACCTCACTCATACGACGAAACACATCGCAAATATTGTTTAACGTCGACAAAAGCAAAACATCAGCTGTAGCCAAAATTTCATTTAGCGATTGTGTTCTTGTAGAGTACAAAACCAAATTGTATGGAATTGACGTAAATTTTGACATTTGCCAAATGCCTAATCCCCAAAAGCACTTGCACGCCCAACGTAGACAAGCGCTAAATGGCATTTGGCTTCAGCTGCTGAGAAGAAAACTAGAGATAGAAGTGAGTAAGAAAAGTTGTGCAGAAGGTAAAGACTTACTTAGAAAATAACTTAAATACTTACGTCAGGTGTCAGTAAACCGATAAGGTATGGAGTGATGATTCCAGCGAAGGTTGATGTCGTGTTCACAAGTGACGTTAAAGTTCCAGCGTAGTTGGGCGCCAAATCCAAAGCGTTTACCTAAAGAATAAACCAATAACTTACTAAATTCAAATGTCGTGTTATGTGATTGTCCAAATGTGGATTTTCTCTGAACAATATTGCAAGTAAAATGTTTAATTTTAACTTTTTTGCACCCTTGAAACACAATTTGAACGTAATTTTTGCTCATGCATTAATAATGAGATCACAAAAGCCAGAAAACGTAACTGAGTACTTTAGTACCGTGACTCTTGATAAGCTACACCTTTGGGGATACCGTAAGTAATACGAAGTGCCTTAAATTAGGGAAAATTCTGGAAGAAACCTTTTTTCTTGATAAAAATACACTCTGTTCTATAGCAGATTTTGCAGCTGTAATAAATTTTAACTTACCCCATTAAACCGTTTCTATTATTTCAATGTTAAGAGGGTTAAGTGGGGTTTTGTGTTGTTTTTCTTCTCAATAAGATTAAATGTTTATTTTTGTCTGTTGAAGTCACTGGTTTTTGTTTTCGGACGTGGGACAGATCTTTATTAGTATTTTGTGTTTGTAGAATTCTAGGCACTCCAGATTTTTCATTTGTTTAGCGTTCAAGTTGCGCGAGATCTTATCGCGAAGCTCCAAACGTGTCATTATGATTGGGTGCTTAGTTTCCAATTGTAATTAATCCTATATTATTTAGTTCATAATAATGAAATGGTTTTATGTTCTTATATATACATTCTAGCTCAACGTCTGAAAACAAAAAGTCATCTCTCTATTTATTTGAGAAGCTTTTGTACGAAAACTTGTTACGTACCTTCATTCCACTGTAGAAGCCTCCCATGAGGGCCATAGACAAGACAAAGTACACCATCGCAGCGGTTCTGTCGCAGCCAGCATAAGACGCCAGGATAATGCAGATAGCTGGACCGGTAGCAGCTGAAATTTTAAAATAGAAACGTATAGTATCTTGTTATAGAACAATATTTAAGATAAGTACCTACTATTCAATATTTTGTAGCTGTTACTTTTGATAAAGAATTTTTAAATTGAATTGGCTCTTACAAGATTTTGTTAAAAGCTTAGACTTCATAATTCGGAACTTAATCGTCAGTTGGTTTTTGAACTTAAACAATCAGATCTACTGTTTAATAAAGCTAATTCATAAAGTGAGAAATCTCACTTTACTAATACTTTGGTCAGTGTACCTATGTATAGACGTAGACGTTAGGTTTTTAATCTTATAGCTTTGTATTCAAGTTGACCATTTTTGAGTAGTGTTTGTGCTAACGTTATTATAGTTAAGTAAAATGCAAAAATGTTTCAATATATATTTCTATATATTTATATATATATATTTCTAAATATGTTTCATTCTTACCAATGGTTGTGTGAATAATTCTTCCAGTCTTGATAGTATGCCATCCCTTCTTGATGCAGACGTCACAGACGAGGCCAAAGAGGAAGGAGCTGACCCACATGGCAATGTAAGGTAAGGCAGTGAGGGTACCCGTGGTAGCAATGTTGAATTTCAGAACATCGTGGGAGTACTTGGGGAGATCTGTCACCATCGTGTAATAGCCCCAGTCGTGGCCAACCTGGAAAAAAAGAAAGTAAAGCATTTAGTTGGATTTTGAGCAAAATCTTTCTTTATAGGTTGGGTGGTCGCAAGTCACAACTGCAATTCCCAAGTAAGTGATAGTGATTATGTCGTAATGGTCAAAGAAAATATTTTATTAGTGTCTTTCCTAAATTTGTTCTTGATAGAGTCATAAATGAGGTTTCATCACGTGAGATAAATATTTCATATAGTGTTCGTTGCTTTTTACCCCACTCATTCTATTATAAGTACCTCCATGTTACATTGCCTAAGAATTTCCATTGTATCAAAACTCTTTCAACATTGTTCCTTATGATCATTATCGGCATCGCTTACAAATTTCGCCTTAATTACTAAACTCACCCTTAAAATTGCGAGTTTCTCTCAAACAAGAGCAAAAGCAAAGATCGGCCCCTATACATCTCAAATAATTGGAGTAGGTACCAGTATTAATGATCACTCAAATTACTCCCGTCGGTCGTATGTACCACGATCGATAATGCCTTGGTAACGTATTGACAGGTTTACATGTTAACACTCTCCAAGCTGCGGAATATTTCATCATCTAAATATTCCATCAATTTAGAGCCTTATCATTTATTCATCTAATTCTCTCTGTATAAGTGCTCTCGGGCTTTTGTGTGTTCGCATTGTAATTTGTATGCATAATAAATAATTTGCAAGCGATGCCCGTAGAGTTGTAGCTAGACAAAGATTAACAATGTAATGAGTTATATCTATCGTAGTTTTACTTGGTTCTGTTGTTTTGATTCTATCTTAATAGTTTAGAATGTCTTTGTCGTACGTACGTATCATCAACTCTATCATGCCGTAGCAGTACCTTACATACTGATAACTAGTACCTTAATATAACTAAACAAAAGTAAACTTCGAAATACTTGACTATTTTTTGCCTTCAAACCTTTATCAGATTTTGTTTCCGACATTTTATCAGACATCTGACTAAGAAACATTTCCTTCTATTTTTTCACTACAAATAAGATATCCGATACCGTTTCCCTAAGCACATAAACTATTTGTTCCGTTTGCTCCATTAGTCGCCTCGATCGTTAGCGTAACCATAAGGGAACAGAAGGAATACGATCCAACGAGCAGGTACTTTCCTTTTACTGCATATATTTTGTAGGCCGTATTTGTTTAACATATTTTTGAATAGAAACATTCCCTGCTTTTGTCCTGAATTCCGTTGAAGGGAAAGAATTGCAATATTTGTATTCCTACTACTTATCGGCATTCCGATATCCAATAAGTGTCGGCAAAGGATTTAGTAAATTTGTTTAGCTGTTAGCAATGGAAAATGGTCTTTAGGGATCACTTCTAGGGGCGAGTTCACTACGACGACTTTGTAGGACGGCTAATATTGAGACTCGACTGACTGATTCTGACATCTGACGTCACGGTAGTAAATCGATCACGATGCTATAAGTAAGAGAAATTTTTTTTTTTTTTCATCTACAGATTGGTACTTTGCAAAGCGGTAATATCTTAATTAAACTCGATTTCATTTGCTCGTTGTATTTTACTCGCAGATGTGTCACTAAAATAATTTAAGCAAGATTTTGTTCATATAAAATTTTTATAGTCAAATGAAAAATGCGAGTCTTGTCTCTTTCTTGGTGAACCCTCATTTTGGAGCCTATTCTTCTCAAATTGCTCCCGAGTTATCGATAAATCCAAAAAGGCAAGCGTCTAATAGGATATAAGGTTAGCTATCAGATTTCGTTTAGAACAAAAATTTTGTATGATGCGCTATTAAGCCAAATTGATTTTAATATTTTATGAATTAAATGAATGCTATTATAACATGCTGCATGACAGAAATCTTATGAACCTTGTGTGTGAATTTATTTTGGTCACAATAACAAATTTCAACCAACGCAATATAAAACGGATTTTCCACGGACGTTATCCCAATGTAAAACCACATAACCCTTCATCAGTAATCCCTTTAGTTCAAGTTTTAGTTCAATCAATTCCGTTTTGTGGTCAAGTTGGGAAAACCGCGTTTTAAAGGTCAGTTGGGCAATGTTCGTACATTTATTTTACAAAACTATCTATTTGGTAGTCCATGGGCAGTGGACCAAAGAGTATTACATGTGTCTATGTAATTAGGTGATTAATTTACATTATGTTCCTATTGTGCGTATTTTCTGAATGAGGACAAGCCATTGTTGGTGATGCTTCACAAGGACATGCCCATCTCCATGTCATAATACTAATAAATCTAATGTAAAGAGCTACCCAAAGCATATACGTTTCTATTTATATCAACAAAAACGGATAGTATAGTATATACTAAACGTATTTTTAGATCGTCAAAGAAAGGAAAATTAATGATATTTTATACGATTTATCGGAAAAGTGGGTCATGATTCAATGTCATTTGTATATATTCATTCGTTCGTTTATTCTTTAGCTGTTGCTAACTTTCGCGACCAGGCTCTTATGTTTGTGCATGATAGAAAAACTGTAGTATATTTATCATAGTTTTTTTTATAATAATGAATGATTAATTAAGAATATTGACCAGTGACAGTAAAACATCAAACATTCTCTCTGAGCCATCTATTGGACATACTTCCCTTATTATCAATAAGCCAAATACAGTTATAGTAAATGAATATAGTATGACAAACTTGGAGCAGGACTAATCCAACATCCAGAGCAAATATTGAGATCAATAAGCATGATTTTGTAAACAACGCTTATGTGTGGCCTTCGTAAACTCGTAGGCGCTAAGTACAATCCACATCTCAACCTAAATCAGAAGGTTCAATTAGATATTTGGTTAAGATTCATATTCTAATGTAGAAAATTAAAAAGTGTACCTTGGCCGAGTAATCGCAAGTGCGACTGCCGGTCAAGAGGTATCGGGTTCGATTTCCGGATCGTGCATATGTATTTAAAAATTCTCATTAGTAGCATGGAGTCTGAAGTTGTCTGTTGCACAACACGAAGTACCTAAGTTAAAGGCAAATAAACATACTTTTGCAATTATAATCTATTCGAGATTAAGCTTTGCTACATTCATTTTTTTTTAAACGTTTTCCTAGACTTGGATTATCTCCTGTGTCGTGGGTGCGTTTACAAACATACAAGTTCACACATGACACCCAGACTCGAAACAACAATTTGTGGATCACACAAAGTGTTGTTCCGTGCGGGAATCGAATCCGCGACAAGTTTCACGGCAGCCGGTTGCCTAGCCACCGCACCAACCGTGCAGTCAAAAATATTTATTATATAGACCTTTTGTATTCTGTATATTGGAATACTATTAAGTGTTTCTGTTTTATAACTCCGTCAAGGTCTAACTCATGGCGGAGTGATTAAACTGTATCTCATTGCGTGAACACTGGATTATGTTTCTAAATTATTCTTCTACTCAATTGATTCAGAAGCTGCGCTAACAATTTATGTTGATGACGTTTTGTATATTATATTGTTTTACTTGTATTTACACCTATATAGGTAGGGTGTAAACAGAACGCCCCCGAAAAATGCCGACAGGTGGTGGTAAAAACAAAATTTATTTTCATAAAAGAATCGAAATGTTTTAATATTATTGTGAAAATTTTGTGCTGTAGTTTGGTCGGCTAATTATTTTTGGGACAGTAGTTTCCGTGCCTGCCTCGTTGGCCGAGTGGTCGCAAATGCGACTGCCGGGCAAGGGGTCTCGGATTCGATTCCCGGGTCGAGCAAAGTATTACTGGATTTTTAAAAAAAACCAGCAGTAGCACGAAGTCTGGAATGAGTAGCTACCTTCACTTCAAAGTTTTTGTTGTTCACGTTAAAAAGTGCCTTCCTGGTCTAATTGAAATAAATGATTTTGACTTTGCCCGGTATATGGCAATAGGTTCACCCCTTATTACAATTTTTTTTCTGCATGAGAATTTTCCACGTCTGGTCAAAATTGAGAGTAGAAATTATATGGAAAAATATAAACTATGCAAAATAAGACCGATGCTCTCCCTTTGCCACACTTATTTAAAATTAGCAAATTTAAAATAATACATAAATTAACATTTAAACTACAAATATAAGTACAGTGAACGGTTAAACTTATATGCACATCCAGATGTTCTGAATAAGTTTCAATTGCTAATTCGATAAACGATTATTATGGTTCTTATTATCCAATTCTGTAAAATTACTGCACCCACATTGGTACACATACCCTTAATCTTAACCTACATCAGTTTATCAAGTCCTTTAGTGCCTAAAGCCTGCACATTTATTTTTATAGGTATTTATATTTCTTTACCGCCATAATATTCAGTACTTGGGACATAACAACAGATAGATAAGCTTCGTAATATCATTATAGTCATGATAAAAATATTTTGGTACCATCTTATAAAATGATAGATGAAAGATATTTTCGTAAATATAGAAAAGGATTTTACTCTGTGTTGGTACTGAGTTATATTATTATCGTAATATAAATATTATATCAACGTGAAAGCATATCCATGTTGATTTTATTTAAATATAAATTAGATAACAGGCAAACATTTTGGTTTAAATATTACCTACGTATGATGAAAAGTAATGCAATTTTTCTTCTTTGTTTGTATTTGTTATCTCAGTGTGGAATGTAAATATTTAATTAGTTTTGTTAAACACTAGCGTTCCGCCTACACCTGCCTGATTGGAATTAAAAAAAGTTCTGATTATGTCTGGACTGTTACTACCTAAAATGTAACATAACATAACATCACGCCTTTTATCCTCGAAGGGGTAGGTGCACATTATACCACTATACAATGTAACACCCACTTTTCACTATTTATGTTATGAGTCCCATGTAATAGGGGGTGAGCCTATTGCCATATACCAGGCACAGTTCCAGACTCCGTGCTACAACTGAGAATTTTTTAAAAACCCAGTAATACTTTACACGACCCGGGACTCAAACCCGAGATCCCTTGCCCGGCAGTCGCAATTGCGACCACTCGGCCTACGAGGCAGGCCTAAAATGTAAACTTTGAAAATTGCAATCGTGAAAGACGATTTAAAATTATTTTAGAAGTTGTGGGACTTTAGAATGTAAATTAAATAAAGATAAACAATTTGGGGGCTGTCTCTTGAAACCAATTTGACATTGATAATATTGTGTAACGTACTCTTGAGTTGCAATACTGCATCTGTATTGCGTGAATATTGAATAAACTAAATGGTATTGAGCTTATTAACAGCTATGATTGTTGTTGTATCTTTGTGGCATTATAGTTTTTATTGAGAACTAGCTTCTGCCCGCGACTTCGTACGCGCAATCCCATTTTCCCCCCGTTCCCGTTCGTGATTTTCGGTAAAAAATAAAAAAAGTATTGATCAAAAAGAATCCTATGTCCGTCTCCTGGTTTTAAGGAACCTCCCTGCCAATTTTCATCTAAATCGATTAAGGCGTTGAGTTATAATAGTGTAACTAACACGACTTTCTCTTATATATATAAATGTTTTGGATTGAAATTGCATTGATATTGAGATTTGATTCAAGTTTCCTTTCTATGCCAATTTACATAAAAAGTAATAAGTACATAATATATTCTTTTAAATCATTCCATGTGTGTATCAATATTAGAATGACGCAATTTTAAATACTTACTTTGTTTATAGTTTTTGTGATATCGTGACCGCATTTTCAATGTTGGTTTGTGGTTATTATGACTAGGTATGTACCTATTATGTGATGTTATCATTGTCAGTCAGTCTTATCATAATATAACTTACATAATTGTAAGTTTGTTTTATATTTTGGTGTGTGCTTGTTTTAGGCTTCTGTTTTAGACCGTAATTCACCTTTATGGTTGTTGTGTTAAGTTCTATAATTAGTTATACTATATGATTATTTAAAACTAAACTGCAATGTCATTTTGGAAGCTACTCGATTTTTATCTAGATAAAAATTTGTCAGTCATAGGTTGCTTATGATAATATCGATTACTGATATTCAGTTAATTAAAAAGGAATGAAAATTTACCAAATTCAGAAACCGAATCATCTTTTGAAATATAATTTTCATACATCAATAATATTGTCTGTTATTAAGGATGGCGACGCACTTGTGACTCCACAAATACCCATGGGCGACGATGACTGCTTACCATTAGATAATCTGTTGGCTCCTTTACCTCCTATATCATAAAAATACATACCATTTTTTATACTAAGGATGGCGTTTGACCACCATCAACGCCTGATGATAAGCGATGATGTGGCTGACACACCTACCTATGAGCATCCTGTACACTCGAGTCTTGAAGATACCAAAATTGTATTTTTCGAAAATCACAGATCCAATCAGAAATTTCATTCCTTAGTGGTTCCTACAAGGAAACTCGAAGCGAAAGGCTTCGTTCGCTTCCATGTCTTTAGGTTTTATCAAATTATTTTCTTAACACAATCAAATTAACTTAATACTTACAGCTGCCCAAACTAGAGCCCATACTGGAGCAGATCGGAGGATAGCCTTCCATGGCACCGGGTCCTTGGCGTTAATGTTCTCAGCCGTTGTCACATTGTTGTTCAAGTACGTCAGCTCCTTTTTGGAGATGTATGGATGACTATTCGGTGTGCTATAGCAGAAGAGACTCTGTGAATGGCAAAAATGGTATTTAAATTTTAGCGATTCATTTAGATGAGTGCAATCGAAAATATACATTAAATTTCACAAAATTCGTTTCTTATATAGATAAAATGCTACGTTTTTAAAAATGTATATAGGTAATAATAAACTCCATAAATGGCGCTATTTTTTTTTAAACGTTGCCCCACACTAGTATTTTCTCCTGTATCGTGGGTGCGTTTACAAACATACAATATCACATATACATGACACCCAGACCCAGAACAACAATCTGTGGATCACACAAAGAGTTGTTCCGTGCGGGAATCGAACCCGCGACACGTTGCGCGGCAGCCAGTTGCCCAGCCACCGCACCAACCGAATGAACCATGAACTATGGACCCAATCTGAAGAATGTACAAGCAAAAACAACTATATTTTCTAGATTTGTTTATGACAAAAAGTGATTCCCACTTCATTAGCTTAGCCGAATCACAAGAAAATCAAATCTAACAATCACTTCCAAGTCTCAGCGCCAATAAACATCAATCACTCGACACTAATCTTTACTATTATCGCAAAAGAGACCGTAAAATGCCTATAAAGCCGTCGATCAATTTACCGTCGCACCAAAGACAGAGCAATTTGCCATTATTGGTAGCATTTACGTGCCCAGTAATTTTATTCAGAGCTCCCTATTTTTGCCAAAATCCTTTCATTTTATATATTGGGTTTTCAACACCAAGATCGAGATTAATTGGTCTATTAAATTAATTCAGTTTGTTTAGGAATACTTTTTTAATTTAATGTTTGTTGTTACGGGTGATAAGATCACCCCTCTTCGGTTTGTTATTGTTGGTCGAAGGCTGAAAATGATTATGGTGGCGTCCTAACGGTTATTTTTGTTCCTTTTAAAAAAAAAAACAGAATGGTAATGCTGCCAGTATTTGAGCACACGGTACTATCATCTCGATTGTGTGATTTTTTTTAATGCTAAATGTAAGTAAAATGACTTCTGTTTTTCATAAAATTTAATCATTTTTTATAAATAAAATAATAAGTAGATAAAAATAGGAATAATTCCTAATGTTAATATTATTTGTCTTTATTTATTTTTCTGCTTCTACATATAGTTTTTAACTAAATTATTACATGCCTTAAAGGCGAATTACTTTCACATTTTCTTTGACACATTCACTTATCTTGCACACATGACTGCATCGAGATTACTTTAACGAATAATGCTTGAAAAAACTTTATGAACTGTTCGATAAATATTTTAACAAAAATTCTTTTCGCGGGTAAAGCACAGCGTTTTCAGGCAGCTTCAATTTTAGGAGGAAAATAGTTTCTCATGTATTCCACGTTAAATTGCGTATCGAATCGCTTGCTTATAGAATTTTCCTAGGAAAAATTCCTTTTAACGTACCTGTGTATAGAACAGGGGAATGTTGCTTACATTGACTTTTTAATCAAAATATACCTAGTGAGTTTATGTGCATAAAATGTACCTACCAATTTAGTCTGGTTATGTGGTAATAGCCTTAGCATGCTGAACTACAAGTGGTCTATTAAAAAAAACTATTTATAAGAGACGTTGTATATTTTTAAGACATCGTCTCATCGTCACGTCTAAAATAATGGCATTGAAATCAAGATACCTATAAACAACATTTCACAATCGATTAGGTATCTAGGTAGAGGTGCACAGTACGGCACTACATGCCACAATGTAATACCGACTTCTCACTATTTATGTTATGAGTCCCATGTAATAGGGTGTGAGCCTATTGCCATACCTACCTCTATACCGGGATCAATTTTAGATTGACTAGTAGTAGCACGGGGACTGTAACTTTTTTTAAAACCCAGTAATACTCTGCCCGACGCAGGAATCGAACTCGAGACAACTTGCGCGACAGGTGCACTAGCGACTACTTGACCAACGAGGCAGTCTAGTCTATCTATTCCATAAAACATCATATTTCATTTACTGTTCATTCATTTAAATAAATAAGTTAGTAATAGTGTCTATTTAAACCTGCTGCCCCGGCGATACGCATAATTTATCATCAATCGATGTTCAAAGAGTTCTTAATTAAACCCTAATCACATTGATCAACATCAAAATGCCGGAAGAAATACATTTAAGGATAGTTCCATTCGCGTTTCACAAACTAATATAATCTTCTACGATATAAATCTAAGCACTACTTCCTAGTCATTTAGTATTCTGTACCGTACCTAGTATGAGCTCATTCTCCATTATAGGATAATGACTCATAGTGCTTCCAATCCCTTCGATTAACTTGTCGATAATCCCGTGAAATATCGCTTCGTGTCGAGATAATACCCCTGTATGGAAGCACAGTAAAAAAGTTTATTAAGCTTGTGGGTATGGAAAATGTAATTATGTATGCTTTATTAGTGAGAGATATTTATTAAAATTAATTGTTTTATTTTCAAATTTATTTCCAAATGACTGCACGGTTGGTGTGGCTGGGCAACCGGCTGCCGTGCAATGTGTCGCGGGTTCGATTCCCGCACGGAACAACACTTTGTGTGATCCACAAATTGTTGTTTCGGGTCTAGGTGTGATGTGTATGTGAACTTGTATGTTTGTAAATGCACCCACGACACAGGAGAAAATCCTGGTGTTGGGCTAAAAAAAAAATACTCAAACACTAAATTTTTTGTAAGGCAGTCAACAACAAAGTGTAACAAAATCGTAACTAAAGAATGGTTAAGGTAATCATTAAATGTCCTTGAGTACGGCAATTAACTTTAGAAGTTATATAAAATAATAAAAATCTTCACTTACCCATAACAAAAACCATAAGATTCCGAAGCCTCCGAAGAAATAGAACACGTAAGCCCAATCTCTGCCATCTGCGAGCAGTATACCGGACATAAAGGACCCGAAGATGTTGCCGATTTGAGCTCCTCCGAATACCAGCGCTCCTTGGAACGAACGCTCGTGGGGCGGCACCCATCTCGCCAACATGATCATGAGAGCAGGCATTGTGGGACCCTGTGGGGATAAAGAACTTGTTTATTCATGTTGTCTCACAGCTGAATTTATTATGGTCTTAATACAAAATTGCAAGATCGATTTCGATTTATGACAGTAATTCTATAGAACTCGATTTTATTCATGTATGAACATCGATTTTAGTAGGTACTGGTAGTGGTATTACTACTAAGATTTTTTTTATAAGGACGACAATCATCGAATGACTTCTGTCACACTCTTACTAACTAAAAACCACCCCGTTCGAGCCGGAGCCCCGGTAACCCGTTAAGTTCTCCGCTGCTCCGTATCGGCATCAGCCCTATTGGGCCCCATCTGAGGTGGTCTGATCGCTCTTTGAGGCGAGATCATTATTTTTGTTTAAGTTAAACTACACGCAACTAACTCCCGAATACGGAAACGCTACTCAATTTTAAATTGTACTGTAATATCGTGCCATCCCTGTCATTTTATAAAGAATTTGTAGTGACAGAACTATTATACTTAAGCGCGACTTAAAGTTGAGTAGCGTTTGAGTATTTCGACATAAGCTGTGTACACAACACAGCTTATGTCGAAATTTTGTTTTTGTAGGTTATCATAAACCCTATAAAGTATTTCTTTATTGCGTTAACGCAGAATCTGCAACCTGGATGAATACTTTCGTAAGTAATGGTACTGTCACTATTACATTTTTTTAAAGTAACTAAGTAAGTAGCTCACTTTTCTCCATTACTCTTGTTTTTTTTCTAGGACGTAAATTTATTTATGTAAAGTCAGTGAATTGTAAAATTTTGTTTGTAATTGTAACTCGCTTCACACGTGCAGTTCTGTAGCGAATTACCTAATTATGTATGTTAAGGTAGTATATTGTAAATCCGTAATCAATTGGCTGCAAAAGTAGTTTGTGGGTGTTATGTGTAATGTTTGAGAACTGTGGATTTGTGATAAGTAAATAAATCATCTATCTACACGTACGATTAGTGCCTTCAATAGAATACTTTTCCCTCAGAAGTAAATCGATACCACTCGTTGCCTACCTCCATATTTTCAAATAAAAAAAAACTAAACCAAGCGCCTCTTCGCGGCATCGAGGCATCTTGGATTTTTCCTTCACAAATATTATATTCAGTAAATACTTGCTTTCATCTCTGTATTCAAAGCTTCCTTATCCAAAGCCGGCTCAGTTAGTATAGCAGCCTTTTACAGACAGACAGACGTTAAGAATCTTTCTTTGACGGTCGATAGCAGGTCATCCTATCCTTTTCTGACAAATTACTTTATTACATTTTCAACTTTATTGTAGACTAGCTGTTGCCCGCGACTTCGTCCGCGTAGATTAATGACTTCTGACAGAATTAACCAGAATCAATTCAGTGCCCAAGTAAGATTTACCTATTTTGAAATGATTTATCGTAGTTTCAATAAATAAATCTGTACTGGTAAAATCCCGCAGGGATCTTACCAGTACAGTGCCCGATCACGTAAGGTTTGAGTAATAAAAACTATTCTATCGACTATTGTTGTACCGAATCTCTCTAAAATTAGTTCAGCGGTTAAGAGTTAGAGAGTCCTGGGGCATTGACGCATAGTTCCTGTTCTCGTGAGACATCTGTGAAAAAACTATCATACGTTACCCAGGTCCTAAATCATCGTTTTACCTGATGTGATAACATCTATCTGCATGTCAAATTTCAATCCGATCGATTTAAAACTGACAAAGTCTCATACAAACTTTCATCCCCTATTTTACTCCCTTGGGGATGGAAATTATCAAAATCCTTTCACAGTGGATGCCTACGTCATAACATCTATCTGCATGCCAAATTTCAACCCGATCGATTTAAAACTGACAATGTCTCATACAAACTTTCATCCCCTATTTTGCCCACTTGGGGGTGGAAATTATCAAAATCCTTTCACAGCGGATGCCTACGTCATAACATCTATCTGCATGCCAAATTTCAACCCGATCGATTTAAAACTGACAATGTCTCATACAAACTTTCATCCCCTATTTTACCCCCTTGGGAGTGGAAATTATCAAAATCCTTTCAAAGCGGATGCTTACGTCATAACATCTATCTGCATGCCAAATTTCAACCCGATCGGTTTAAAACTGACAAAGTCTCATACAAACTTTCATCCCCTATTTTACCCCCATTGGAGTTGGAAATTATCAAAATCCTTTCACATCGGATGCTTACGTCATAACATCTATCTGCATGCCAAATTACAACCCGATCGGTTTAAAACTGACAAAGTCTCATACAAACTTTCACCCCCTATTTTACCCCCTTGGGGGTGGAAATTATCAAAATCCTTTCACAGCGGATGCTTACGTCATAACATCTATCTGCATGCCAAATTTCAACCCGATCAGTTAAAAACTGACAAAGTTTCATACAAACTTTCATCCCCTTTTTTACCCCCTTGGGGGTGGAAATTATCAAAATCCTTTCTTAGCGGATGCCTACGTCATATCATCTATCTGTATGCCAAATTTTAGCCCAATCTGTCCAGCGGTTTGGGCTGTGCGTTGATAGATCACTATGTCAGTCAGTCAGTCAGTCAATCACCTTTGAATTTTATATATATAGATATTTATATAGAGACGAAAATCCAATAAATAAAATTTACAGATTGGGGTAGGATGATTTGCTGGTGACTGTACATCTCAATCGACATACTCTTATTTTTCCTGCTTTATAAAACAAAGAGGAAATGACTAGGTAATATTGAAGCAAGGGAAATTCCACTTCAGCTAAAATACACAGTTCTTTATATTGCTTTCAAAGAGAAACTCTGTGTTAATTTTTACCCTTTTTTGAAGAGTAAAAGAGTCGTTGAGAATAATAGAATGTACAAAAGTTGCCTTTAGTTTATGAAATGTTACAAAAACTTAACTAGTTTTATTAAAAGAATTAAGAAAACACAAATTAAAGAAAGAAAAAAGTGTGTGATTATAACATAATCGGGATATGTAGTTAAAATAATTTTATGTGCGTATCTAAAGTGCAAGATTCTATTGTCAAAATATTAATGTCAGATAACATAGAAATGTATGTTTAATATTGTAAATTAGTTGGTGTCTGTTTGCTTTGTTAGGAATAATTGATGTGATTTGTTCATTGAGTTGAGATAGTTGAAAGCATTGAAAGTAACATATAGTTGATAGGTGTCTGTGCAAAATCGTACACAATCTCTATCCAGACATTTCATTGCGGCACTTATTTTCCCAGGCGCTTTATAATAAAAACTACTATTAACCACATATACCTACATATACGCCCCTTACTCTGGTCACAAGACCTTGCAAAAGATAATACTAAATTGTCATTGTTATTATACAGGTAATTTTAAAGTAACACAAGGTGTACGACCTTCTCTATATAACTACGCATGCAAGTATGAATGGAACCTCTCACCCATGACGCTTTGAATCGATTTCATTCATGCTCTAATACTTTAGAGAACTAAGATTTTCCATTATCTACTCGTATTATACTAAGAGTGCATTAAAGGTATAGTAGGCATACGTCTTTTGTTTATTATAATATTTACTAGCTACTACCGCGCGGTTTCACACGTTCTGCTCAGCTCCTATTGGTCGTAGCGTGATGTTTTTTAGCCTATAGCTATCCTCGATAAATGCGCTATCCAACACAAAAATAATTATTTAAATCAGACTTGTAGTTACGGAGATTAGCGCGTTCAAACAAACAAACAAAAAACAAACTCTTCCGCTTTATATAATAGTATATAATATTTATTTCTCTCAACATCATTTACATAATAAAATATAGCAAACGTTTTACAACTAAACCTGAGACTGGTGTTTGTTGTAGGTGAAACCTTTATCACAGATCACCAGATTTATGAAAGTGCTTTTGAAAAGGACGCTTTTTAAACGAATCGAACCAAAAATCGATTTTTGAACGAATCTATTTAGGCTGTTCGATATGTTTTCTGAATGTCAGTCGTCAATTTAAAACTGTATTTTGTGGTATCAGTAAGAATTTCTTACATTGTTAACAACACTTTTTAAAACAGGAAACTATATTTTATGGTAGTAAATCAGACTAATTTATTAAGATTATTTTTATTTGAATTCAAACTAAACATGCAAATGATATGTATCTAGGTTGTAAATGATATTTAACTTTATCAAAACCTGAGACAATATGTATCAAAAACTAGAATTTATTAAGTAAACAGTATACTACTAAAACTTGTACAAACAAACGTAAACGGTGACAAAATATTATGATTACAATTGGCAAAAATGGCAGTTTTATCGCGAATACCACATAAAATATATCAGCTTGTTTAACTAAGTGGGGACGCGTAGAAAATACATGTAGGACACACACGATGCTATACAAAACCAGGTTATCGTGGTCTCCCTTTATATGTCCTATCAACACATTGAACGGTTAATTTATATTGGTTTGTCATAGTCTGATGTGTGTACATAGATACAGTATTTACATAGGTATTTTATTGAAAGTGACGCAATAACACTTGATTCAAGAGTAAAACATTATTGCGGTTATCTATAGTACCTAGTATATATTTTGCACTATGGAACTCAATATTCTGGCTCTAAGCAATATGTAGGTAACATTGACATATCTACATAATACATACAGATGTTATTAGTTATTAAGTTTCTATTGGTTTGTAAGCATAATTATAAACTTATAACCTTGTTGCTTATTTGTGAATAATTTTCCTTAGGTGCAGATGACCTTACAAATGTAGGTCAGAAAATATCTTTTTCGATTTTTTTCGTATTTTATCGTTTTATAAAAAAAAACAAGCAACAACAACAAGCCTTAATTGATACTTTTTTTAATGTGGGAATATTATCGAAAAATTTCCGGTGCCTGGGTGTGGCGGGAAGTGTCAGACTCTTACTGACTAAAAACCACACTGTTCCTACTCCTATACTTCGAGTTGGAACCCCGGTAACCTTTTAAGTACGTTCTTTCGAGTCTTAATACTTAAAAACACAATTAGATTTACGATAATTTATAAAAAGATCATGTCTTGATTCGCTTGATTACATAATAATGTACCAAACACAATGTAATTAGGTAATATTAAAATAGACACAAGTAATGTAAAAAGAGAAAAAAAAATTGAAAAAAAAAAAACAAACAAAGAAAACAAATTTGTTTCATAATTTTGTTATCTTTGTCTTTACCAACATTGTTCATAAATATGAAGAGCTTAATTACAGTCAAAAAACGCTAAAAAAGTGGGTCAAGTTTTTGGGGGAGGCTGACAAATTGCTGCTGTTTCATCTTGAATAAATAATTAGCATATTTTGTTCGCACGTCATTCTCTGTAAAATAACTTAGAGGATAAAATAACAAATAGCAATACTCCAGTTGACCTAACCTACATTTCTTTATCTCGTAAGGAAAAGTATGAGAATAAATATGTCCATTATTAATTTACTGGAAATATGACAACTGGTATAATTATGCTATTTGCTTATGATTTTCTATTTTTAGTATGTATTATTTTATATTAGGGCAGTTTTTATTCATTAAATGCTGTTAATATAAACGTTTCTTGCCGCGGTTTGTCTGTAGATCATACTTTCGGTTCATATTTAAAAAACGAACGGGGTTAATGCTGCCCTATAAATTGGATAAAAGAAATATTTTAGGAAAATTACCTAAAATATTTCTTTTATTAATCTATATAAATAAATAAAAATAATTTTCCGTGCGCTAGTGTCTTAGGAACAAGAACTCAAGAACGGCTGAACCGATTTGCCTAATTTTGGTCTTGAAATGTTCGTGGAAGTCCAAAGAAGCAAGGTATAAAAGGCGAGAAAAAGTTTTTAGCCGGTACTTAGTTTGCCGGGTAATATAGTTATTATTATTCTTTTGCTAGTTTGTGTAATAAATAAAGCAGTCACTATAATCGTACGGCTATATTTTTTACTAGCTTTGCCATTCACCAAATTGAATATTAGTTTAAAAATAAAAATAAAAAGACTCACCTCTCCCATTCCTTGCAAGATACGCAGTATAAACAGCCATGTAGCGCCGCCAGCTCTAATCACAACCGGTGTTAAGAACGTGAACACTGCAGTACTTAGGAGACCCACACCGAGGGTCCATTTGCCCCCAAACTTCTCGGCTAAGTACCCTCCCGGCACTTGGGTCGCTGCATATCCGTAGTAAAAGCCGCTAAGTATGAGCCCTTGTGTCTTCTCATCCCAGTCGAAGATTGCGTACTGAAAAGAAAAAGTTTTTTTGTAAAAGCGGCCATATTTGAATAGTGAAATCGTTTTTTGTTTTTAGGTACTTCTATTTTCTAACTTTTTATTATATCAAGTACTGGCTACTCTTGCGCGATTGCACCCGCTCTGCTTGGCTCCTAATAATCGTAGCGTGATGTTTTATAGCCTATAGCCTTGCTTGATAAACGCACTATCTAGTGCAAAATATTTTTTCAAATTAATTAAACCAAATAGTTCCTGGGATTAGCGCGTCCAAACAAACAAATAAACTCTTTAGCTATATATTCAGAATATAACATATTTATGAGTCTTATCAATAAACGGTAGGTATACATTAAAAATAAACAGACTGAAATAACGAAGGAAATGTTTCTCTTAGAAAAATCAGAAGCTTTTATAAAATTTAATTAAAAGTAAGTACACAGAAGTCTTAGTATTCTGTTAGGTTAGCAAATGCAAAGAGTAATAAAATGCAATGTTAATTAAATAGCCTTTTCGATTTATATACGTTCTTGTCTTCATTTATTTTTCAATCTACCACGTCTAGAGGAATAGAGCTGGCATTTATTTAAATAAGATGCATGCAAATGGACCATCTAATTTCTATACGTATTAAGGCTTTTGATAGCCTGCAAAGAATATTGATAGAACTTGAACCAAATTTGTATGATAGCCTTAGGTTTGTTTAACTTTATTTGTTCTTCTATTCTTTAAAGGGCTATAAGTAGTCAACAATGCATCTGAACCAATTCATTTCAATCTGCCCTCTCAAAACCACAAAGAGATATCTGCGGTTAGGACCCCGACTTTACTTGCATACATAATACAAAGACCACTTCGTACCTAACCGTTTTATACATACAATCTTTTATAGCCTGACAAAGGTAAATTTAGTTCCACCAACTCTCGCATTGTTTACTCCAAGTAAATCTAATCTATTTTTAATATCTACTGTTACATCTGTTCCGCCATTTTAACATAATTTAAGGTCGCTATGATATCATTAGATGTACTTGAGGTGATTATTAATTAAAGGACGGCATGTAAATTATTACTATTTATATTATTGCTTATGGTCCTACATGGTCCTACGTGGTCCTTCGATCCGCCTACATCGTGGTCTTTATATTATTCTGCATGCACTTCTAGTTACACGAGTTTCTTATTAACTAGTTGCTAGCTTAACATAATTATAGTTATTACTGCCTGTAGAATCTTGTTTGGATCTACGGTTAAAGGAAGTTTTATATCATGTCGTACGTGGAGGTTTATAGCCTAATCTTTGAACTTGTTCTGGTAGTTAAACTTGATCATAAAAGAGTATGGTAGAAATTATTATGTCAAAAGGCTTCCTCTCATTTTCATGTGACGTACAAAATAGGTTTACTCCCATAAAACTCCTCTACGTGTACATACTTAAGAAAATCGTTTTTGTTATCCATCAAAACAAATTACCATACTATCGACGTTTATAATAGTCTGTCACTAACTTCGAACTAAAACGTGTCCACACAACACATTGTTTATCGAACATGCATCAGCATAATAAGTGAATAAGTTCCGTGCCAAAAAGTCAAATGCTTTTAAAATGTAAATTTTGCAGCAAAGTCTCATTACACATAACACTCTCTAAAGGACATACAAATGAGGACAAACATGATATCATCGTATACGCTTACATTTAAATAATAAATCAACAATATAAATGAATTTTACTTCCCTACATGTGGTTTTAATGCATCTGTGTTTAAATAAATACATAAATAAACAGCCATTGTAATTACATTTGGCACACATTTGGCAAAATGAAACTGCTTGTTGCTGCATGGTCCTTTTATTCTGTTTAGACAAAATTTTGTATTTCTGTTTTGTGGGAAGTATTGTATGAAATATCATTTTCGTTATTTTTACTTGTGACTTAGATATTAACACTAGAAAGACGGAAAAAATCATCTACCTACAAAGACGGTGAGCGGTCAAATGACTGCTCCTAGATTTTTGATATTTTTTTATGTTTAAGTGCTAGAAATGGTACCTATAGTATTAAACATGGTATAATATACTGATAATTAAGTAATATGTATAGAATTTCTAATTTTATCATTTTGTTTACATTACAAAAGCCGCAAAGTGGCTTTTTGCAATTGTCGCATTCTTTATGGGTTTTGTATTTGCATTTGTGTATATAATATTTTGGAATTTACTGGATTTTGTGCAGAAAATTGAGAAGTAAAAGATCTAGACTTTTCAGACAAGGATTCAGTTTCAGAGAGTATTCTTCAATTTATACTTTGCTTCTAAGTTCGCCCCCTGAACTTAGTATAAATAGCCTTTGTTTCATGTAATATTCTTCATTTTCCTATACCAAATGAAGGAATTATATCTAAAAAGGAAAATTATCTAAATTATGTTATATCTTTGCTAGGTCGCATATATGAAAAAAAAATCTATTTCACCTTTGAGATGCTCGTAACATTTTGACCAGTACTTGCAAAAAGTTTCACAAGACGCATCTGTATCAACGGATTCATCGACATTTGACCACTTTGAGTAGATGCCATTTGAGGATTGTACAAGATACAGTCGATAGTTGTGAAAAGACCTTGATGCTCAGGATCTTCCAAACTCCTTTCACAGCCTTTATCACTACCACAGCAACGACTACAACCACGAGAACCCAACCTGTCAACGTCTGATAAATTTGCTCGAAGTATCTGGTCTTTCAGGTCACTTCCGTCCGTAGAGGAATTCGAATTGACAAGTAGTACCACATAATCGTCGTCGCCATCACGTTTTGTATTTTTAGAGTCAAAATCAGACTCATCTTCACAAATATTATGGAAGTAACAAACATTTTTTCATTCTCAACACTCCAACACGTTGCGACCACAAACTACTTTCAATAATTTCGTAAAAGTTCACAGGCACTTGAAAGATACGGTCTCATTTGATAAATAAACTATAAAGAATGAATTAGTGTATATAATTTGTATTCTACCCTCTCATATTACACTTATAAACACTCATTGGTTGTCAGCAGTCAAATGACTGCCGCCGTCTTTGTCGGTAGATCAAGATTTTAAATAATAAATAAAAGAGTTGTGATTTATTTTCATACATAGTTGCATTTAACTAGTAAAATAAATAAAAGTCACAAAGTCTCAGTTTAAAAACTCAAAAAGATTTCAAGTCATTCAACATTTAAAATCAAATTGCGGTCAAATGACTGCTCCCGTCTTTCTAGTGTTAAGATTTGGTTTATTTATTAATTGCTCTCATTTTTTGTTCAAGAGACTTTTCTGTAGACATTCTTACTTAGGATTGTATGCATATTTACTTCCATATTATATACACTATTATAACCGTGTTATATAATCAATTGACGTCCAGTTCTCTTGAGATCTAGTTATGTGTACAAAGCACCAATTACATAAATAGTTTAATTACATGTTATGGTACGTACGTACCATTAAAACATAAGCGTACCCAAGGACCACGAAGCGGTTAAACATTTTAATTCCCAAGACAGGAAGTTGTAATAATCATTGACGATTAACACCCACTTGACCACTATCAATTAATAAAATACTATTATAATTGCACAAACTACAGCTGAAAAATGAGAACGAAGATTGACATATTAAATTGACCCTTCAGGAGTTCCCATGGGACCTAGTTATGGGACCGGAATCCGGGTCATGGCTTTGTCCATGAGCCATTGTGATAAAACAAAGAAGTCCACGGTTGTTTATCTACATAAATTGGAGGAAGTGTTTTGTTTACTTGGCAAATTGCATAGTAATTGTTTGGTCCATAATTTTTAGAGCTATATTTTTCCGGTCGAATTATTTATAACCACGTATTTCACACGTTCTATTCCACCCTGTATTTTCCGAATGCCCTATATAATCAGTTACGTGTACATTTTTTGTCCTTGTGCATCAAATTTAAAACCGATCTATATTCTATTGATAACGAATACGTATTTGACTAAACCCAACTCTGTGAATATCAATCGCATCGGTAGACGATGCGGCACCGGCCTGCGGATTGGCGTAATAGTAAACTTGAATAGCTAATTATATCTAATACTGCATTCAAAACTTTAATATAATACTTCATAATTAAGTACACCACCACTGTCTGCAAATACATACTACTACATACATAAAACATATTCACATAATATATCAGTCGAAACAATCTTGAAGCCGAACTAATCCCTTCTAAACTTTGTCCTGACAAAGTCATAAGGACGACCCCAAACTGTGAGTGATTAGACCGCGATCCAAACTTTTAATCACAATTTCTAATTGCCGTCATGGAAACTCTGGAGGCGGTAAATATATCTCTAGGCATAATGACCTATGAGAGTAAAAAGGTAAATAAAAGCGGTTTTCTAATGAGGAAAGTTGAACGGTACGGTTTTTCCAATTGGTCATATTCATATCTACGTCATAATGGGCTGAACGTACTACGCAGGCGTAGGAAAAGCGTAATGACGCGAAACGAAGTTGTTTTGTAAATAAACTTGCAGTAGGTTTAACGTGATGAAGTAGGTTTTTATTGAAAACTGTACAGACATCCAATAACTAAAGTTGTTTCTACTATAAACCCAATGCTGTGTTACTCCAATTATTTTTATAAATGTGAACTTATATTATACTTAATCTAAACCTGAAGAGTATGTTTATTTATTTGTTTGAACGCGCTAATCTTCTAGAAATCACTGGTTCAATTTAAACAAATATTTTTTGTTGGTTAGTCTCTCTTTTTATTGCAGAAGGCTATATAAGGTAAAACATCACGCTGTGAATACTAGGAGTCCAGCACCAGGTGGAGCTCCGCGAGAATAGCTAGGTTTATTGACATCTAAATATCTACAAATCAGCTTCAACTGTATATTCATCATTTTCATCACGCTCATATGTGTCTTCAGTCACTGACTCGGAAAATAGACCGTATCTAATACTTTTCTCTAGAAAAATGTGGAATGAGTATACTCAAGTGCTTTACGAACATTGTTACGAAGTCATGTTACTATGAACCGTGGAAAATCTCTGACGTACGAACAATGACTTTTAGTAATGTCTTGAATAGTAGTATTGTGTAGTATTTAGTTTTAAATAGTAATATCGACTAAAATTGTCTTACTGACATATAAGTTACTATCAAAAATATTGCACCATACAACAGAATTAGGCTTAACTTTTTCTTTACAATAGAACTATTGCATACTTCTTTTGTAACACACTTATGTTTTAAGTAAACTGCCTCGTTGGCCGAGCGGTCGCAAGTGCAACTGCCGGGCAAGGGGCTTCGGGTTCGATTCCCGGGTTGGACAAAGTATTAAGTACTGGGTTTTTAAAAAATTCTCAGTAGTAGCACGGAGTTTGGATTTGTGCCCGGTATATGGCTTACCCCCGATTACATGGGACTCATAACATAAATAGTGAAAAGTGTTACATTGTACAGTGGCACTTAGTGCCGTAACGTGCACCTCTGCCTACCCCTTCGGGAAGGAATAAAAGACGTGATGTTATGTTATGTTATGTTATGTTAAATTAGAAACAAGATCTATCTATACTTACTGGTTTCTCCACCACAACTGAAGTAACGTTGTTAATAAGATCATCGCTCGGACAGGCATCAGGGTCGACGAAATGTGATCCGCCCGACTTCGTGCGGTTGACCATTTGTGTGATAGCGAGGTTGAGACACACCCGCATCGTGTAGGCGTTGCACACCCCTAGCAAGCCCATAACTCCAAGTATGTAACGCTGGGGAATCACGCAACCTGGGGAAATGGAAAAGAATTATTATTCAATACTGTCACGACAATTTTGTCTAATATGTTTAATCAGTTTCTAGGCAAAAATGTATTATTTTAAACTAGCTTCTGCTAGCGGCTTCGCCTGCGCTCCCAGGGGTAGCCTGTATGTTATTCCAGAAAATAATCTACCTCTTTTCCACATATCATCCCGGTCCCTTCAGCCGTTTTGATATTTTCACATTTATAATATCTGTTCGAGCTAATTTCGACCATCGGCCCTACAGTTACAGCGTAAAGTCCGCACTAATCTAACATTCAACAAACTTATATTTGCGTTTGGTACTGTAACTGTGTCTAGGGATTGAGCCGCACAATTAAGTTTGTTTTTTCGCGTACTATATTTTTGAGGATATAAAGTACCCAGTGTTGTGCCTAAGGTATTAAAGTATATATTATACACACTTAGTTTCATTGTAATCGAACTGCTAGTTTTTGCGTGATGCGTGAACATACAAACAGACAAACAAACAAACATTTATTTATCCACCTTTTTGGGTTTGGTATGTACAGTTTTATTATATTTATAGATTATCCATGGTAATGTTATCGCATTGATAGAAAAGCAACTTTGGTTATAAATAAAAAATAAAGCATTATATATTATACTCTATATATATATAGGTATATATACATATATTATTATATAAGTTTCTTCTTGATCTATTTCTATGTACACTTATCGCTAAATCTAGTAGTATTATATTTGTATCCGTCTAAAATTATCTTCAACAATAAAATTTCCACGCGAGAAGTTTTTTCTATCAGTTGATTATTTATTATTTACATTTTTATGTATGTATCAGTTTTATATCAGTAAATATGTTTTGATAATGTTTGTAAGAACATCTGTTCTGCTCGTGATTATCACTCATCATTTGTTTGTAGTTTTTTTAATGTATTGTTATTGCTAATTTGATCTATTTGGTTAAAAAAATGAGTCGACAATAATTAAATAATGTCATTGCCCTTTAAGAAGATACGAGAGTTAGATAAAATATTATGTAGGTATTACATGTATAGTTTACTTTTTAACTGCCTTATTGGCCGAGCGGTGGCAAGTGCGACTGCCGGTTTTAAAAAAAAATCCATTAAAAGTATTAATGGGTTTTTTTAAAATATCAGTAGTAAGTAGCACGGAGTCTGGAAATGTGCCCGGTATATGGCAATAGGCTCACTCCCTATTACATGGGATTCGTAACAGAAATAGTGAAAAGTCGGTGTTACATTGTATAGTGGCATTAAGTGCCGTAATGTGCACCTCTACCTACCCCTTCGGGGATAAAAGGCGTGATGTTATGTTATGTGGTACGTTCTAAATATCTTGATATTTACCCGTATTTAAATCAATAGTTCCTTTGTACCAAATTAGATAGCTGTGTCATTTAGTATATTACCTACTTCAAAAAAGAAGGATCTCAATTTCGACCTGTATGTATGTTTGTGCGGAATTATCTCGTGATTGGCTGAACCGATATCAATGCAGTTTTCAGAAAAGTGTTTGTTACATTTAGGAAAAGATTTACATACATACATACATAACTTCACGCCTGTCTCCCATGGGGGTAGGCAGAGACTATGGAACGCCAATTACTCCGATCCCTACATACTTCAAACTTGAGATTTTTTCTAAATTTTTTATTTTTAGTTTCTTGAATTGAGAAGTTTTAGTATATTAATTAATCTACGTCAACTCCTCTTTTCTTGAAGTCTGTTTTGAAGTTTATAAAATAATTATATTGCCTTTTAACTCATTGCACTTTTGTTTCGTCCATTTTCCGTGATATTTAGTCTTTATACACGAACTGTAATATCTTCTCTCTCTTTTCGCCATTTGAATTAATTTCATAATGTGATCATTAATTTCAATGTCTAATATTTGATCGAAGACTTTAACCATTTCGTGAAAGATTACTACCATTTAATAGCAGTTCAAGATTTTCATAGAACCGTAAAAGTTTTGAGCAAAAAGTTTCAGTTATTACAACTGGGCATTGTTGCAAGGGCTCTTACAATTTATAGTTTGAAGTTTTTGAACTCTTAGGTACAATTCAATATTGTGAATTTTCATAAAAGAATTACTTTTTTACTACGATTAGGTATGTTAGTGTAGATACTAATGGATTTTTACTTAACATTGTCAATGACATCTAATTATTTTTAACAAAAACTTAAAGACTTTTTACAAAGAAGAAGATGTAGTTACAAAGATGCAAAAAAGTAGCTTTGTTTTTGTATATGGAATAGCAGCCGGACCAACGGTGATCCGTCTTTACCTGATGGTAAGCGATCAGCACTGCCCATGGACATTCGTAAAACCAGACACAGGTGCGTTGCCAGCCTTTTAAAAAGGAATCCGCTCTTTTCTTGAAGGTTTGAAGGTCATATCGGTGCGGAAATACCGCCGATGACAGATCAATTTAGAATTTTACCGTGGAACGATATTCTCATGTAAAATGAAAACACCGTTGTACATTTTGTTTTATAATATGAGATTTTATAGAAAGAGTTTAAATACGAGTGTACGTCTGTTTTTTAAGGCTTGCACAGAAAAAAACTAGCTTGTATCTAGGTGTGAATGATACTTTAGTAGGTAAATAAACGAACTAGGGTAGGTAAATTCTCAATTTCCTGCGCGTGATTCTACTTGATTGAGGGAAATGGGTTAATCTGGTGCTTACTGCAGACTCACTTAGTAACCAACGCGTCACAGCACGCTGCAAAATATCTCTATATACTTAATACTTAAAGACTACTATGTTATCTAGTTAGTAAGTAGGCATTCCTACTTACTATGACTAAGTACTAAGTAGGAATGCCTACTTGTACTTAGGGCTCGTACACAAAACTGCGATGCGATGTGAATAAGCAACGCAAAAAAATACGATTCAAATTGCTGTGATGGGATTTCGAGCAACATGGCGGTCTCCCAGGGTAACCATTCCTATGACGATCGACAAACGTACTAAACATTATCTTAAATTGAAAACTAGGTCGTGACATGGATCGTACAAAGAAGTGTGTACTTCCTGTTATTGCTTAGGAGATACAGAAAAATAAAAAAAGAAGAATTTGGGAAGATAAGATTTAAATGCGCGATGCAAATCAATTCGCAAGTTTTTGCGATGTGTAGAGGGAGCTCGCACAGTTTTGTGTACTAACCCTTTGTCCTAATGATATATCTCTATAATATAAGTAATGATATCTCTATAATAATTTGTAGTATATCATTTAAGAAATGTCATTTAAATTTAGATTGTTTTCCTCACGAAATCGTAATTTTTAATATGTACAATAATAAAGATATTGCATTAATTAAATTGAAATCAGAAACAAAATCAGTAAGCATCTACCAAATAAGTAAATATTTAAATCACATTTATATTTTATTTCATCCGGTGCTTTGTCAAAATATAACATTTTCAAGGTACAGTTAACCATATAAGCAGCCATATAAGGTGCATTACACAATGAACATTAATTTGTAAGTACAATTCCAAGGACGACGAACTTAAATCAGATGCTAGTTTCACAATATACGCCCACTTGCGGATCAGAGAGGGCTTAGTCTTAAGTTTGTTTCGCGTTTCTCGAGATCGAAACATTATCACGGCCGGCGCTCTAATTGGCCTGCTCCGATAAATCAACCAATCAGAGGTAACATTTTGGTCTAGTTAAACGTACAACAGTACTCGTACTAGGCCCTCAGAGCCCTTTACTTTCAATCGTGAATTGATCCTACGCAGGTAAAGCACCTAGGTTCAATGCCCTATGGTCGTATCAAATTTTAATTGCAAAACAGTTTTAGTAATATTTGCCTTCCATACTAATAAGTACGCAAGCTGAGACACCCGATATATAATTTTACAACTTTTGTTAGTAGCTCGGTTTGTGTTAGATAGGTTTTTGAATATTTTGATTTTATTTTAAATAGAGACGTTTTGCTTTTAAATGTTTTGTGAACTGGCTTTACGTATCATCATCAACAGCGTATAAGTGGCCATTGCTGACCAAAGGCCTCTTCTGACATGGAGAAGGTTTGAGCCCCCATGGGAGACAGGCGTGAAGTTATGTATGTATAACTTCGCGCCTTTTATCATCGAAGGGGTCGGCAGTAGTGTATATTAGGGCACTTTAATGCCACTGTACAATGTAACACCCACTTTTCACTATTTTATATTATGAGTTCTATGTAATAGGGTGCGAGCCTATTGCCATATACCGGTCACATTTTCAGACTGCGTGCTACTACTGAGATTTTTTGAAAAACCCAGTAATACTTTGCCCGACCCGGTAATCGACCCAGAGTCACCTTGCCCAGCAGTCGCACTTGTGACCACTCGGCCAACGAGGCAGTCATATCATGTAAATAGGTACATAAAGATAAAGATAAAGATAAAGATAAAGATAAAGATAAAGATAAAGATATTTTATTTCGCAAATATGGGTACATATCATGGTAGTGAATAATAAAAAATACAGAAACAGCCATATTTTGCCAATTATAAGGCATGCAAAAGTTTTACACATTCTCATATTTCCTTATTATTTTTTAACTTAACGAAGCGTTAAGTTAGTCAGAAAAACATGAAGATGTTTATTACTTTATTACTTTTACTTTACACTTATTACTTTTCAAAACTTAACTCAAAAATCTTACTCATAATATCAAATATTTTATAAGACTTCAGACCAATTTAAATTCTATTTAAACAACGTTTGAGATAAATTTCGATAAACGATATAAACATCAATATTCGGTCTGCTTTTCAAAGATTGTATGATAACGCTGTTTCAAGATATACCTGTGAAATAACACGTTTATTCAATATACAGCTACATAATATCTTAATGTAGATCAATTGGTTTCAAAGATATGTACCTAGCAATCAAATTAAAATTATAATTTCCATAATGAACATGAATTAATATAAAGAGAGTCTAGACTATCAAGATAAGTGTCTTAT